ATCGACATATAATTATGGACGGAACTATCAGAAACTATACTCTGTTGTCGTATAAGTGGTAATGAGTGATGTGCAACCATTGCTACATCAAGCCATCAGTACATCTGTAATTCCGAACTAACTGTTAAAACACGAACTAGAACTGATTAAAACACAACTCTATTTTTTAAAAAAACTGCCAGTACCAACGCTAAAAAACTTAACAACTTTTAATTACTAGCGATTACTTGGATTTTAAACATAACAGTGCTAACAAAAAAGAACATCATACCAAAGATCAAAACAGAAAAAACATCAATGGCGTAACTAGATCAATGGTTATTGCTTTTTAATTTATTGTCGTTTTCAAATAAATGATCTAGTTCCTCGCTTTTAATTTGTTGTCGTTTTCAAATAAATGATCTAGTTCCTCGCTTTTAATTTGTTGTCGTTTTCAAATAAATTATCCAGTTCATCGCTTTTAACACTATCCTTGTTAAAGTATTGTCTTACAGCTTGTTTGCTGATTATAACGTGATAACGTGAACTGTTTTTGAAAGTTCTTCAATGTAAAGTACGATGAGTGAGAGAGAAAAGAAATGGCCAGTGTCAGACATCCTATACGGCACAAAATATACTCGTATGCGGTAAAACTGTATCGATAAAATTTTGTATCGTATGTGGCATGAAATATATGGTGTATTGCTTCGAAGTTCAATTGTTCTAAAGAAGGAAGAATGAACATTCATGCTGAATCCTCAAAGTGGTTAGGGAATACAAGATCTTTTGCACCAAATCAAATGGGACGTGTTTATTTACCGCTCTCTACCGACCTGATTTGATTCCTTTTGATTGCCACTGCATTGGAGAAATAGTTCGGAACTCAGCACTTCGCTGATGATGAAAAATTTCTAATTGCTGTAACAAGTTGCTTAAAATCGCGGGCCGCTGAGATTGAAACAGAAGGAATTCGTAAACTAATGAAACGCTCTAAAAAAGCTCTTGAATGTGTATGTGGCAGAGTTGGCCGTCGATTACACTTACGATTGCGTGCGTACATTCTACGTACATAAAAGTATGTGTCCCCATACATACTTACATAATATATTTGCATATAGTATGCAATTGTAATTACTTGTAATCGTGTAATATGATTACAAGTAATCACCATAACTTGTAATCAAGATTACATGTAATCATGATTACATGTAATCATGATTACAGGTAATCATATATTTTGATTACTTGTAATCATGATTACCCGTAATCGTTTTCGTTGTGATTACTTGTAATCGTGTAATATGATTACAAGTAATCACAATTACTTGTAATCAAGATTACATGAAATCATGATTACAGGTAATCATATATTTTGATTACTTGTAATCATGATTACCCGTAATCGTTTTTGTTGTGATTACTTGTAATCACGATTACTTGGAATCATGATTACCGCTGTAATCAAAATTTTGATTTCAGTTGTAATCAAGATTACAAGTAATTGATTACTGTAACCAATATTGTAATCATGATTACACTTGTAATCAAAACTTTGATTACAGCTGTAATCAAGATTGCAAGTAATTGATTACTGTAATCGACTATTGCAATCACGATTACAGCAGTAATCAAAGTTGTAATTGCGCTTACAAGTAGTAATTGATTACTGTAATTGTTTGTTGTAATCACGATTACAGTTGTAATCAAAAGTAAGTTATCTTGTAATCATGATTTCAAGTAATTGATTACTATAATCAAGAAATGTAATCGGCTTCATTTTTGTCCAACTCTGGTATGTGGTAAGATTCAAAAATAAGGAAGATACCTTTCCTGGTGTAAATTAAAAATTTATTGTATATTTGAGGACTTATATTTTTTACAGCGAAACGGTGATTAGTTCCAGATTATCCCCGTCCAAATATAACATGGAAGTTAATAATTACTGTGGAACGCACAGTTCCATGTAACTTTGTTAAGCTTATTAGCATATTACCTTCATCAATGATCTTGGTTGGAAACCAAGGTCATTGATATAAAATTTTAAAATTAAAGGATAAACATGCAGGAAGCATTCCTCGGAAATTTGATCAATAATCATTACTTTTAGAGGTTTCCTTTTAAATGTTAAAAATGGAAATATATAAAAAAATCTCCTTAAATTTTATCAACAAACATTGCATTTAAATTTCTAAATTTTAAATATTTACGAGAAAGTAATTTTTTTTAAAAAATATGATCAATAGTTTAGATTTATAAATGTTTAAAATATAATATTTTGTGGTGGTCACTAAATATTTTTGTATTTCAAGATTTGTTCCAGTTTTACAAAAATTCTTAAAAATTTCCAGAAACCTGCGAAAGCCCTATTATATAATTTATATTATAATCCGTCGTATAGCTCAGTTACTTTGCATCTGAAAGCAATTGGTAAAAAGTGGGTTATATATGAATTCATTATTATTTTATAATTATGAATTAAATATTTAATAGTATTCTTATTGCTATTATTAAACTTCCTGTCTTTATAAAAACTTAATTTCTGTACTTTACAACTTAAAGAAATAATTTGAAGCATCTTCGGCGACTTAATTTCTGTTAAGTAGTATAATACAATCCCTGGTCTATAGTATAATACAATCCCTGGTCTATAGTATAATACAATGGAAGGTCTATTTTTGCCTTTAATTTATCCTTACAATAAATTTATATTATTGACCAAACAGTTTGGACGGACAAAAGAATTATCACTTAAAGATTATTTATCTAAAGTAAATTAAAATTTTTTAACTCGTTTTGAAAAGCGGAAGCTTTCAAGCAGAATGATGTGATTAGGTGTTCGAATGGTACGGAATGGATGTTCTCGTTTTGCTCCGTTGGATGTCAACATTTTGTTCTATGCGTGTTCCGTTATTCAACGAATGAAAGTGTTAAAATATATCAGCTCGTATTTCTGGGTCACTTCTGGTGTTTCTCTTTCTATCACCTATTCATCTGTCATACTTATTTCTAAAATATCAGTGAAATTGACCTAGAGAGAGAGAGAAAAAAAAAGTTCTGCATCATTCCCTGACTCTGCCATTTCTTTTTTTTTTCTTCTTTTTTAAAAAAAAATGGAATTCTTTTTTAACAAAAAAAGAAAAAATATTTATCGTGTTAGGAGAAAACTGTCTAGGTAATCTGTATGAGTTGATTTCGCACATAGAATGATAATAATCGACGCCATTTTCGTTTTTTAAGAAATAGAATTTTGTTACAAAAGGTATTAATTGCGTTAGGAGGAGGCTGTCTGCGCAGTCAGTACAGTAATTAGTTAGCACATGGAATGTTCCAAATTACCACTATTTCGTTTTCAAAAAAATTTTTTTATCGAAGGTATTAATTGCGTTAGGAGATCTGTGTAGTAAGTACAGTAATAAGTTAGCATACGGAATGTTCAAAATTACCACTATTTCGTTTTTAAAAAAAATTTGTTATCGTAGGTATTAATTGCGTTAGGAGATCTGTGTAGTAAGTACAGTAATAAGTTATAGCACATGGAATGTTCAAAATTACCACTATTTCGTTTTTAAAAAAAGGTTTGTTATCGAAAGTATTAATTGCGTTAGGAGATCTGTGTAGTAAGTACAGTAATAAGTTAGCACATGGATTAAAACAATTAAAAAAACGAAATTACCACTATTTCGTTTTTTTAAAAAATATAATTTTATTATAAAAGGTATTTATTGCGTTGGGAGGAGGCTGTCTATGTAATCAGTACAGTAATAAGTTAGCACATGGAATGTTAAAAATTACCACCATTTTGTTAAAAAAAAATAGAATTTTGTTTTAAAAGGTATTAATCGAGTAAGGAGAAGGTTGTCTATGNAGAGGCGACAGTGAATTAATATGTCTGCATAAGTAATGAAATAAAAAGAAAGTATCCGTTACATTGATCTGGAAGAGAAGAAATAAATATTTTATGTTCGTTTAAAAAGATTAAGTTTTTGATTTATTTTTAAATGATTCTTCTATTAATAAAAATAAGCTTAAGTAATGAAGGATATTTTAAAAAGATAGGAAATAAATATGTAATGCCAATTATGGCATCACACCGACATTTCGGTTTTTTTTTTTTTTAAAATAGAGTTTTCTGATGAAAATATTTCTTGCGTTAAGGGAGGACAGCTTATGTAGTCAGTATTAAGTTAAAAAGTTAGCTAAAAATTTTCTATCGCGTTAAGAGAAAACTGTTTATATCAAAATAGTCAGTCTAAAGTCAAGTTAGCTTTTTGAATGGGGAAAGTTATTTTGCATCATCAGTTTAATAAATATCATTTGCTTAATAAACATTTATATAGCTTATTCTTGTCAATTGCTGAATAAGTTCATTAAAATTTCCAGTAACTAATATAATTTTTCTGAAACTAACGTGACCTTTCATATATTTATTTATAGTTTTGCTATTATTTTAAATTAATAACAAACAGAAATCTTAAATAATTATAACGATATGATATAATTATAGTTATGTGACGTATTTATATGATTATAATTAAGCAATTATATAATTATAAGACAAATAAAATTTGTACAATTTTCTGTTAATGCAAATCACTCTAAACCAGTAAAGTTTATTTTTCTATTAAATCTTTCAGTCCTAAAAATCAAATGCATCGTCTATGGTGCGCTAATCAGATTTTGATTGAGCTGTTTATGAAAAATTTTGCACTATTTTCTTAAAGCCGTTTGGCTACTGCAGTGTTTGCCATAAATAAAAACATTTTCCTGTTTATGTTCGCATTACGTTTAACTTCTGCCATTACAAATCGCATTTTAGAGTGTTGTTTTCTTCTAAATGCCTCCACTTTAGAACGACTTTACATTTACTTTTAATGCTCCCATGCCAACTGGTTAGTCAGTGATGCACAATCTGCTGTGCAATCTTTTTACCTTAATTAGTAACCCAGAAAAATGGTACTACCATCACTTCTGTATTCTTGACGAAATTCAATAAATAATTTTCGAAAATTTTTTCCTTACAGAACGTACCAACTCTCAGCACCACAACAGCTTCCACGACTACGGAAAATTCCACCATCCCACCAGAAACTACATTACCTACGACAAGTAATTCATTAATAAGTAGTCTCAATTCTAGCGGCAACGCTATGGATACATACATTTCCAGCATCATAGAATCTCAACCTTTGCACTACATCACATACAGCAAGCCTGATAACATCGTAGGTTATAAACCGCCATTCGACAATCAACCGTTTGACCTAACGGCATCTAATTCAGATCTATCGGGTAAGAAATCATACCGATATCAACGTAATTACGTTTATTTTTTTTATTCCTTTTTCAAACATTCAATATCATTACCTAAAAATATTAACAAAAAATACATTTAACTCATAAGTTGCTTGTTTTTTTTTTGCTTCAATTCAAAAAAATTAATACTGAAAAATTACTCTTTATTTATATGTTCTAATTTGTGCAACATTTACTGCCCTTTTTAACGAAAACTCAATAAATGCATTTAGCTTAAATTATTTTGATGTCTTTTTTGCTGCTGTTGTTATACCCTATTAACCAATAAGTATTTGGACACGTGTGATTGAAAAGAAAAACAAACTTTATTCATAATCAATAGTTGGTAGAGCCTCCACGAGAGGCAATTACAGCGTGACTCCTCCGGGACATACTTTCCGCACGTCCTTGTGTGACGCCTAGTGATATTTTATTCCACTCGTCTTGGAGAAGACAAGTAGTAAGTTCCTTCACCGATTTTGGACGGGTAGTACACCCTTTAATTCGGCAATCCAACTCGTCCCAGAGGTTCACGATAGGGTTCAGGTCTGGCCTCTAGGCAGGCCAGTCCATTCGATTAACCCCATTGGCACCATACCAAGCCTTAGTGACCCTCGCAACATGACAGCTGGCATTGTCGCCCTGGAAGTAACAGGAGTCCACCCCGTAAAACTGCCACAACGTAGGAAGCACATTATCATCCAGGGCTCGAAAAAACTGGGAAATTTTACCCGTCCCCGAGGACGGCTGGTCCAACAATGCACCCGTCCTCCTTTGAAACTAACCCGTAGCTTCTAAATAAATAAAAATATAATTTTCTCTTATTTATTACAAACATTTATATAAATTGCACAATGAATTAGTAGTTACTAGGATTACANTTTTGATGTCTTTTTTGCTGCTGTTGTTATACACTATCTCCCAATAAGTATTTGGACACGAGTGATTGAAAAGAAAAACTAACTTTATTCACAATCAATAGTTGGTAGAGCCTCCACGAGAGGCAATTACAGCGTGACTCCTCCGGGACATACTTTCCGCACGTCCTTGTGTGACGCCTAGTGATATTTTATTCCACTTGTCTTGGAGAAGACGTGTAGTAAATTCCTTCACCAATTTTGGACGGGTAGTACACCCTTTAATTCGGCGATCCAACTCGTCCCAGAGGTTCACGATAGGGTTCAGGTCTGGCCTCTAGGCAGGCCAGTCCATTCAATTAACCCCATTGGCACCATACCAAGCCTTAGTGACCATCGCAACATGACAGCTGGCATTGTCGCCCTGGAAGTAACAGGAGTCCACCCCGTGAAACTGCCACAACGTAGGAAGCACATTATCATTACATTATTATTATTATTAGCACATTAGTGCAGTAAGCATCGGTGTTGAGCTTAACATGAATGGTCCCAATCCATACCAGGTGAAACACCATTCATTTGCATAGGTGTCCAAATACTTATTGATAGATAGTATAGTAAGCCATTTTAAGGCCAGGGGGGAGATTGTTCTTGTTTTCCTGTGGCGCTATCTATGGATAAAAATTCGACTTCTGCCACACCCATACTTTATACAATGTCTTTTTTTAGGAACATTTTTAATATATTTCTATGGTACTGTTTAGTTAAAATATACATCTGTAATTAGCAAGTAAGTCAAAAGCAATTTATCTACAAATTTGTGGATAGCTGACACGAATTACAAGTTTTCACAACGTGGCATGACCAAGTTTTATCAGTAACATCCGAAAACACGTTGAAAAAATTAAGCAATTTGAAAGGGAAAAAAATTGTCCTTTTTAGGAACATTATCGGAATTTATAAAACATGAATTAAATGCCTACTGTTTAATAATTATTTAGAATTAAATGTTTTCTGTTTTTTGTTTAATGTATAACCTAATTGACTAAACCGTTAAAAAAAAATTATTAACAACGAAGCCTAAGTTTTTACGTATGTTTTATTTACTACATTTTTTTAAAATCTTCACTACTCATATTTATATAGGCTAAAAACACTATTTGCATAAAAATTTCACAGATTACATTTTCCACATTTTTATATTTTTTAAAAACGTTAGAAAAGCTTTGAGTGGTGCGCATAATTTTTATTTTTCAAACTGTAGTACTCTCCTTAAAAAGGTTGGTTACACCTGATCTAAGACTATAGCAGTTTAATTAAGTAATTCGACCAGAAGTTAAATATTTCTTAGACAGGGATGAGTTGGCCATATTTATTAAAGATTCTTTGCTAATTTAATTATTATTTGTTCCTGTTGTTAGTAAATTAGATTCCCATTGGATGAAAATTATCGTTAGTCTTATACTTTACAACGTTGCTACTTGATTTACTACTTCTCATGATATACAATGTAGTATATCTATCAATAAACACAAGCGATCAATATACATAACAACAATTCCAAAATAAATGAATTAAAACTATATGAGATTTCATAATGAATGAATGATTTTTACTCCCAAACAATGTTTAACAATATTAAACAATATTTTATTTTTTTAACTTAAATATTTTCAGGAACTTGCGGCATCGGTGGCAGGAACGCCCGAGTTGTGGGAGGGCATGAAAGTTATCCTGGACAGTGGCCATGGATGGTAAGCAAATATTCAAGCTATCAGAATATTTGGGCCAGTAATAAAAAATATTTCAATTTTGATATGATTACTATGACAATCTAATAATAAGTTTAATTTTCATCTTTGCATAATTACTTAAGTTTAATGATTACTTATAAAGGTAACCTTAAAGGTTACTCCACTGTTGTAAATCGAATTGCTTGATTTTCAAAAGAATTGCTAAAAAATATTTGTAGAATTTCAAAAAAGAATAATTGTATACTCTATTCATTCAGTATTCATTGAAGGGATAAGTAAAAGGAGAATTTTTATCCGAAGGCTTTATTTGAATACTAAGCCAACTCCACTTGTGTTCATTTTAAAATACATTAAGTTAGATCATGGTTCGTTTTAAGACATAAGTTTAATGAGTTTGTTCATCTAATCTAGTCTGATTTTCGTTTTCTATTTGTACGGTAGGTGTACTAGCTTCAAAATGATATAGAAATGACTTCTGTGGTCGTAAAAGTTAAGCTAATAGTACTTTTATTCTTATGAATAGAGTTAGTAGAAAACTACTTATAACAATTTTCAAAAATTGCGTTATCGTCGAACATATAGGGAGGTATGATATTAAACTGTTTCAGAACAGAAGATTTTAAACTGTGGATCTCAATTTCAAATAGAAGTTTTGTTGAGTGCGAGGTAATATATCACAAGGGATCCAAATGCTGATTTTCAGGGGAGAAGCATAATTAAATTTAAAATAGTATAAGTAATGTGATTAAGGTTGTAAATCGTAATTCATTTCAGTTATTTTCTTTTACTTCTAATCACAAATGATATCGATTAAAAAAATAGAGAGAATGAAGTGTAAGAATAAAATACTGTAAACCTAATATAAGAAAAATTTTAACATTACCTATATCTAAAATCTGCAATGTAAATTGCCAGGAGAGGAATGTATTACCAATGGAAAACCAAAGGAACCAAATTAATGACTAAATTCTGTTACATATCCTCATTAGAAGAATTCACATCAGGAAAGTTCATTTATCAGACAAGTTAGAAACTGGACAGTCTGCCACTGTTCCAACATTCCCCCAATTCTTTAATTAGACTCAAACATTTGCTTTAAATAGACAACTAAACACATCCAAGTCAAAGTTCTTGATGGTCCAATCAAAATATTTTGATGGTTTATGTTGGTTTCAGTGCGGTTCATGATGGTCCAACATCATTTAATGGTCACCATCACCACACATTTTCCATTATTCTTTCATGGTTTTGATATTCCAACAAATTTCTATCATTCCATGATGCTACTTTAATACGATGATGGTTAACCATCAAGAGAAGTTTGATTCTCATGCACCAACAATCCATGATGATCCGTTACGGTCCATGATGGTTCCAACTATACATTTCCATGGTGGTTTAATGGGAATTCTTGTTAATTCTCAGGAATATACCATCAAAACAATTTCGCTTTTTATGTTGGATCATCAATTTAAATCAGTCCAAATTCTAACGCTAGGGATGATAGCTGTTCATGATTGTTCCAACATTTGATTTCCAAGATACTATGATGGAAATTCGTGATGGTCCATTATGGTACAACAATGCATTTTCCTGGTGGTTTAATTATAATTATTGTTCGTTCAACAGCCATCAAAACATCATACCATAAAAACAGTTTGTTTTGTTTTTTAATGTTGGAAAATGAAAAATCAGTCCGAAATCCTACATTTGGGAGATGGTGACTCATGATTGCTCCAACATTTGATTTCTAAGAAACTATGATGGAAATTTCTGATGGTCAACATGAGCAAACCATCAAAACAATTTTATTCTTGTGTTGGATCATCATTAATCAGTCCGAACTCCTACATTAGGGTAATAGTTACTTATGTTGTTTACAATCAAAAATACATTGGTTCATGATGGAATTATTAATGGTTACCATCAGAATTATGTTGGTTCATCAATGGAAAACCATCAAAAATTTGACTTGGGTATGCATTCCATTTAAATTGAAATGAAAAATACATTTGTTTAAAATCGATGTCTTTTTGGTTTCAGTTCAAAAACTTTTTACTTTCATCAATATGATCAAACTTTCGATACCTTTATTGGCACTGAAAGCTTTCAGCAAATTTTTTATTCCCACCTAGAATTAAAAAAACTAACTAGATCTACAGTTTAAAAAAAATATGTATTATACTATAAGTAAATTAATAAATATAACACTTCTCTACTTAAGAATTTTTTGAGTAAATTGCTATGGATTAACTATGGATAAACTGCTATGGATTAACTTTATATTCTATATTCTAGGCTGCCCTGTTTATAATGACAGCAAGGGGTAAAGAATACTGGTGTGGTGGTTCGCTCATCAACAACTTGTATATATTGACAGCAGCCCATTGTTTATCTGACAGAAGGGGATATAAGTAAATATTTTTAAGATATAAAAGCTTGATTATTTTTAAATGATATTACTTTAAATCTCTGAATCTCACATTATCTAAACCATTTTCAATGTCTAGAATTTTATTTTATAACCGGCATTTGGGTTCACGGCTACTAATGTTTAACTCCATAGCCTTGTAATTTTGAACCCAATCCAGAAGACAAGGGGACTCCTGTATCGAATATTGGGAGGAACTTACCTTCGTGGGGGACTTTTTGATGGAACTAAGCCGCATTTGCGTTACATGGACAGGAGAACCACTAAAACCTCCTTAGCCTAACCACTAAAACCTCCTTACCTTTAAGAGAACTGTAACCCATGATTCGTCTATCACTGAGGACATTTTACGTCAGCACTATGGTCGGTGCAAGCCGGATGCGGAATTCGTATCGACCAGCCATCGCTGGGATTCGAACTCGGTTCACCTCATTGGAAGGCGAACGCTCTATCTCCTGAGCCATCACGTCTCATTTTCTAGAATCAGATTCTTTTGTTAAGATGTGTTTTTTCGAATAAATTTTCCATGGTAAATTAGACTTTATGTGAAACACTTAAAATTTTACGAGGACACAATACCACGGGAGAAACATTACCTTGCAAATTCTCTTCCGCTTCCATTACTGATTTAAAATTTAGAGGGAGCTCAGACAATACTAGAGCCATGAAATTTCAAATACTGACAAGAAATTTTTAAAATATCCAAATGAAAATTAATTATGACAAGATAACTTAAGATTACGCAAGTTTAGCTCTTAATATATTTTTTCGCTTATAGCTAATGTTAATAGTACTCCAGCTCTGTAATGTAACATTCAAAGTTTAGGCGAAAGCAGTATAGTTAGGAATAAATATTTAAAATCAAATTCATTTTTGCAATTATTTCCTTTCTTATAGATACAGTGCAAGACAAATGGTGGTAAGATTGGGCGAACACCATTTACTGAACTCAAATGGTGCTGGAATTCAAGAGCATGGCGTTGCAGATTTGAGGCCTCATCCACAGTTTCAAAGAAATGGTTTTTATAATGACATAGGTTTGGTTAAATTAGCTCGTCCGGTGAAATTTTCAGATTACATTCAAGCTATTTGCCTACCATCCTCAAGTTCAAGAACTGGTAAATCACTGGTGGGACAAATGGCAACAGTGGTTGGATGGGGAGCTATGCATTATGGTATGAACTGAGTTTAATTTTGTTTTATTATTCAAATTTATGGTAATAAAGTAGGTGCGCTAAATATTACATACGAGTTTTTCATTTTATGACACAATTAAAGATCTTTAAAATCACGTTTTTCAAAAGGATCAAAAGAAGGAAACGCTTATTTCTCTCTTAAGTTTCTCTACTATTAGAATGATTGTTCTTCTACTTTGATCGCGAAGACACGGTTCCCAGTAAAACACCGAAGTCAAGCATCACTGGCTGCGGCCAGTAAGCGGGTTGGTGACCACTTTGATCAGCCTACGTAGGGACCGAGGGTGCCGGGTATCGGTTCTCGTTAAACTGTTCTGCCGTAAAGTGCTCAACTTCTCGCGCAGGTCGTTGGGCTACCAAAGCAGTGGAACCATCCCCTCTGCAGAGGATCAAAATTACAAAGGAATGTTTTCGGATCATCCTCAATGATGTTTCCCAGACCGTCACTAATAGCCCATTCTGCAGCTCTAGTGTGACGTAAATAAAGTACCTACCTACCTTGATCGCGCGAGCCCAAAGAGTTCCTTTCTTCTGATTAGCTTGGAGATAAATTAATCTTCATTACTTCTCTGTTTTAATTAACGCACTTAATTTTGGCTATAAATTCAATAATTGTGGTCAGGAAACGATTGAAATTATACTGTGATCCAGCACGAAGCTTCAGTTGAAATTCGAGCCCTGAAGGAAATCAGAGGAAGGTGGATAACTTCAATTTACAATGAATTCTATTTGGCTATAAATTTTGATTGTAACAGTTAAGAAATTACTAAAATTCGTATTAACATCTTGTAATGAGCTTCAGTTGAAATTTAAACACTCTAGCTTTTCGGAAAGAGGTCAAAAATTTGATTGCGACATTCTTTTTTAGGAGGCAGAAATGAAAACGAGTTAAATAGAATGTAACAGTAACAGTTTATTAACTCTTTAAATATCAAGTTCCAAAGAGGAAACTAAATAAAATAAAAAGCCTGTCATTGAAAATTATTTTTAAATAAATCTATATCTAATGCAATTTTTAAAATTTTAATTAATCTTGTTCAAATAAATTTATTTTAATCCTTGCAGAAACATACAGTAGAATTCCAAGCGTAACAGCGGGGAAATCACACAGGTATTTTATCCTGAAAAATTTATTAAATAATTGTGAAAACAAAAAATTGTGCTATAATATGCTACTTTAAGGTGCAATGTTTAATTTAAATGCATAAAACAATAAAAGAGCCTCATAATTTAATTGCCTGGTAATTAAAAGCGTCCGTAACAAAGGGGACAAAGAAAATCCTACATTTTTGACATGCACTGTTATTTCCACTATATTCTGTGATTTGGAACATCCTAAACATTATTTGTAATTTTTTTTAATTATCACACTTCAAGGTAAAATAAATTATTATAAGATTTTTTAAATTGCTTACACATTTTTATTAACTTAAAAAAATGCAATGTGACAGAGGGGACATTTTGCAAATTTGACAAATAGTTACAGGGAAATATCATGCCATTTAATTAAATATTGCACCTTAAAGTAACATATTATTGCACAATTTTTTGTTTTCACATATGTTTAATACATTTTTTAAGATGAAATACCTGTGTGATTTCCCCTCTGTTACGCTCGGAATTCTACTACTGGTACATGGAATTCAACTATACAAATACAAAAACTGCTCTTTATATTTGATTAAAAAATTTTTCATTTTCATTATTGTAACTTTTATTCAATCTAATTAATAAAAAAAAAGAATCATGTTCTGAAACTTATGCAGCAATTATTGCTTTTACAGGCACTCGAGGTACTGGATCTATGCAACAAGTATCAATGCCAATTTGGGAAAATAAGGACTGTGACAAGAGGTACTATCAACCCATAACCAGTAACTTCATTTGTGCCGGTTACAATGAAGGTGGAAAAGATGCTTGCCAGGTATCAACTATTAAAATACACTGCTTAAAAACAATACGAGTTTTAGGTGTGTACGGATGTAACTATGGGTAAACTGTGACCCTTACACTTACAAAATTTAACGCGAAGGTAGAGATTGTCCTCTGGTATATAATTGCCCGATTTTCGAATTTTAGAATGCGTAATGCTGTTTATAAGACTGGAGTGTCTATTACACCGATCAGTCAGTTCGATAAGAATTATTTTGCTATTGTGCCGAAGCAAATTTTGAACAATCACTGAGTAGTTTCTGTTCACGTGACTTTTTCTAATTTATTTTTTACTTTCAATAATCATGGCAGCCATGATTGCTATGGGATCACTTTTTTCTTCTATTGAGTAATTTTCAGCTTGTTAAAAATTACCCAAAAGAAGAAACCCACCGTTGGTCAATCGTCCAGTGGGCATGTCGCTATACCAAACGTTCCCGTCCATGGCATGACGAAAATGGCACGCAAATGGTTGGCCGCTAAGCGAACAAGTCACGTTCGTGAAGCCTTTTACTCACAGAAGACGTCGGCACCATTGTTCCCATGGCTGCACTGATCTGAGCAGACTCGTAGTTGGGGTTTTATTTCTTCGAGCACAAAACGATAAATATCGGACATCGGCACTCGTCGTAGCATTTGCCATCCTTGGCTGAACCTCCTGGATGCCGAATATTACGTGGTTAGAAATTGTTGTCAGTCGAAGTCTATGAAACATAGTAGAACTTGCATTTAGACACCTGGCTACTTCCATCTGATTTTGTCCTGCGCCTAGTCTTATAGATTTCCATCGCTGCTCTTCGGACAAGTGATACCTGTAGGTCATTGCTACAAATCGGCTATCTCCAATTTCTAATGTCAGAAACACAAGGAAATTCGCAGACTTGTGATCAAACATACAATTTTATGTTCATCGCAGATGACGTAATTCCACTGCAACGCCACTAATTTTCATATTGCAATTTTACTTAGCAATTCTTTTTCGTCAACACATTTAAATTTTATTGGGATCNTAGCATTTGCTATCCTTAGCTGAACCTCCTGGATGCCGAATATGTGGTTATAAATTGTTGTCAGTCAAAGTCTATGAAACATAGTAGGAATTATATTTAGCCACCTGGCCACTTCTATCTGACTTTGTATTGCTTCTAGTCTTCCTATACATTTCCATGGCTGTACTTCTGACAAATGTTGCCTGAAGGTCATTGCTACAAATCGGCTATCTCCAATTTCTAATGTCAGAAACACAAGGAAATTCGCAGACTTGTGATCAAACATACAATTTTATGTTCATCGCAGATGACGTAATTCCACTGCAACGCCACTAATTTACATATTGCGGTTTTACTTAGCAACTCTTTTTCGTCAACATATTCAAATTTTATTGGGATCGAAAAGAAAAGGAAAAATATCTTAGTACATTCCTATACAACTGAAAAGAGGAGGGGAGGGATGGGTCAAAGGCATGGAACAGGTCATCTCCCTAGATGGCGTATTAGAGCTTTGCGATTGCCTATTAGGAGAGTTATCACTATTTTTGTAATATTTTCTCAATTACCATCGTCATATTCTTGAAGCAAATGCAGTTTGACATCTTCGAGTAATATTAACTACGTTCACAATTCAGATTTTATGCCATATGTTAGCATTATAAAACGTTCTAAATCTCACACTTCATAGTATCACTCTGTATTTATAAATTAATTTGATAAACATTATCATGCAAACTAACGAAAATTTTTCTTATAGGGTGATTCTGGTAGTCCTCTTATGGTCCCAAATAATTCCAGAGAATGGACAATAGTTGGGATCGTTTCATTCGGCACAAAATGCGCTTCACCTGGATATCCAGGCGTTTACACCAGAGTATCGCAGTATTTAGATTGGATCGGCCAGAACACACATTGAAATCAAAAGTACGAAGAGACAAGACATGAAGTCTTTTAAAAAAAAACACAAGATGAAACGAAAGTGATATCTCACAGAAGAGATTGCCAATCTCGAGACGGTGTTGTTCAGTAACATTTGTGAACTTTTGACTGTTTTAATTTAATGTGTGATTGCCAAAATAACACACGCTAAAAAGACACTTAATTCTTCCTAAAAAGAAGTTGATTTGGTTGCGCCTCATCCAATTTTAAGAACTATTTTTCTTTTAGGGAGTATATATTTATAATAAGCATCAAATGTAAATTATTTCATTCCAAGTTGAAGATGTGTGATGTGATGCAACAGTTATGCACATCACATAGATGCAATAACACAAATCATAATTCTTCTTTCTTTTTTTTTTGGATGATTCTAGTCCAAATATGGGAAATATAACTAACATGGGAAACAAGATCATAAGGGAAAGGTATCATAAAAATATCTTAAAAAGCTGTAAAGCAATATTTTTAGTTCATAAAATTTATGCTGTAAATTGCTAGATGCCATGATAATTTATAATTGTAATGCGCACAGTCACTTAAAACAAGTCAGGGTGCGTAGCCAAATTATTCAACAAAAAATAAACACGTTTTAAGCACTTTTCAAGAACTCAAAAAATATTTTTAAGCACTTTAAAAAAATATCATCCGGCAGGGTTGGAAAGTTTTTGACAATCGACGGTTTTATTTTGTTTTAACCGTCATGTCTAAAAAAAAAAAAACCTTTTGTTTGTTTTTGACAATTGTCAAAAATCATGAAATTTAGCGTATGAAAACGAATGACGTTTTCATACGCTACGGACTGACTATACGCCGAAATAGATTGGGGTTGAATTAATTATGAAAACGTTGGATAGAACAATGTGAACTGTGTCGTTTTGCATAATTCGAAGCGAAAATCAACATAGTAAAGGAAAAATCTAATTTTGAAAAAGGGAAAATTAAGCACTTTTTACAAACACCCAATGAAAAAAAGCACCTTTAAGAGCTTTTAAAAAAAGAAAATAAGCACCTTTAAGCATTTTTTAAAAACGCTACGCACCCTGCAAGTTACTAAAGGATTTTTACGTTAATATTAAAATTTCATTGAATTCGATAACAAAGATTGTAACAGTTAAGANCAAATAAAATAAACTGTGTTTTTAAGTTCCACATTTGAAAATTTGATTTCCGGAAACTTCTGTGATAAATGATATTTTGAAACGTCTGGACCTTCGATCTCCGGAAACTTCCAGATCACTGTTAGCGAACATTCCGGACATCCGGATTTTTTCCGGAGCACAATCACCCCTGTATATATAAACAGTACTTAATTGAAATTTTGATGTTATGAGACATCTTCGGTTTGGTCCAACTTTCCCATTCTGAATAAAAAAATTTTAATTTTTCTTAATGAAAGTCGATACCAACATTCTAACTTTCATTTCAGTAAAAAACTACATCCTTTTTTCTAATTGAAAGCCAACACATACATAATAACTATAATAAAATTGGTTTCACTTCAGTAAAAACTACACCTGTAATAAATAATTAGAATTACTTTTCATTTGTTCACATTTAATTGATTTGTTCTTTTTTGAGCTTGAGCATGTAATCTAACATGCTCAAGCTCAAACCTATATATAAATATATAATCCATTATATTAAAATCAAAATCAGTTCATTGTTAAAACTACTTGTTACAAAAAAATATCAAAAGGTTTAATCTAAATCTGTTTAACCCTTTGAATGTTTCCCTACATTTGAACGCAGTAAAATTCTTTTTGATACTAAAAATGAAGGTTAAAATGCGATTTTCTATAAGATTGACCATTAAAGGGTTAAATATTAATTCATTCATAACAGTTTTCACACATCATCAGCAGTAACCAAACAAATCAATTCTGCACAAATACTGCCTTTACCTGATAACATGACAACCATTTAAATCTAACATTCAAAAATAGTATTGAAATTTCTTCAAAGTATCATCAAGCGCAGTGTTTCCCAAAGTGTGGTACGCGTGCCCCCAGGGGTACGGGAGCAGCTTAGCGGTTGTACGTGTTCTTATGTGAAATATCTTGCTATAAACAAAAATTTTTCAAAAAATTTTTAATTTAAAAACAAAGCTAGACATGAAAATTTACAATTACGTATTTTTCTATTTTTTGCAGAGTTAACAGTTATTAGTGTCAACAGCCAGGTGTGATTTTTAACTTATGTGCTATTTTTTAATAGTAAAAAATCCATTAGTTTTTTTATTAGTGGTACACCGTGTTACGAAAAATTCAGAAAGGGTACACAAAGTCATAAGTTTGGGAAACACTGATCTAGCTGACTTATTTATATGCGAATGTATACTTACATACACATGTATTTTCAATCATAATTTACTTTATTTCATATCATTTTAAATGCAGCTGAGGGCACTTTCTAAACTAAAAGTTAGCTCCTAATTACAAGCTGATACCTGAGTTGAATGGTGTGAAACAGTATTTCTTAAAATATGCACATCCACGCAAACCCACAGAACTGCTGATAAGATTACCTTGCTTAATATTTTTGGGACATAAACAAAGGGTTTAAAAATTTTATACAAATGAATAAGCTCCAAATGAATATGGCATACATAGGATTTGCAAATAGTAAAACAATATCACTATAAAAAATGAAAGTACATATCCCTTAATCTTAATTTGAATTGCACTTAAAAATATTCCATACATATTTCAAAAAATACAATACTGGATATGGAAATTTTTGTGGCTCACTTGTGTGTCTTAAGCTCACCTACATAAGTCCAACAATTAAAAATAAGCAACCTCAACATCTACAAAACAATGAATTCAATTCCTTTATTTGGATGCAGGTAAAGCAAAAAATGCATACACTGAAACCAAAGGGCAGTAAAGGCCCCATATGCTCTCTGCATAAACCTGAAGAATATTTGAAAGCAAGAAAGAGATTTAGAATTATAATTGAGATGTAGAATTATAATTGAATTACTACATTCGAATTATATTATTTAATTAAAATCAGTTCATTTAATAATATCAGTCATTTGACAAAGTTATATTGGAAATAAAAACTATACTACCTACTTTTGCACATTGATTAAAAACAAAATATGTAAAAACAAGTGGGTGAAACTTCGAATTGAGTAGTAAAAATTAATTCCCATTCAGTGAATAATAAATTTGACTTAACTATAGCAAGAAAAATTTCCATGGTTGATCTCGTGAATTGATAATTACATCATGAATACATAAGTTTTTAGAAATACTAGTGCATCATATATTTGATTGTTAAAAAAACCTTTCATGATCTGTAAATCAAGCATTTATTTTTTTGAAATAAATCATCTCATTCACGATTCTGCTCTTGTGTAAATTGATTGTGTCACAATTTACTCAAATTGTTTCAAAAGTTTGGAGCATTTTTATTTTATCCTATCAGAAATAATAGTATTTGAAAGTTTTTTTTTTTTAACTGAGCACTGTTAATAAAATAAATTATAAATTACATGTATTCTTTTTCTTTTAACCTTTTGAAATAAAATAAGTAAATTTCAACTTAAATATTATTCAAAGGCAAAATAAACACTAAATTGTAAAAAATGTTTGAATCTCTTTATTTTAAGAACAAGCAGTATCAATTATCAGAGCTTTGCACATAAGAACAATTTAGTACAAACAAACTATTCAATGTTGAAGAGATAACAATTTTCAAAACATTTTACATCAAGTTTCAATTAAAAGATGAATGTCAATAACTTCTTAATTTAAATGACAGCGACTTATTTCTCAAGCACCGAAATTATTATGAAAGCTAAAATACACACTTCTGGGTTTACGATTACAACAATGTTACAATGCAACAATATTAAAATTCTCATAGTAATATTATAAAATTTGTATACTTTTTTTTGTCGTTTATTAACAAGACAGTTTAATAACAAGATTACAAATACAAACAAAAACTATGAATTACTAATTTTTTTTATTTATTTAATGAAGCAATTGTTATTAAATGCGTTGAATTTGATAAAAACGTAAACAAAAACTATTAAACTGCTACAATTTCTTTCATTTAATTAAACAATGAGTAATTATTTAATGCACTGAATTCACTATAAAATTGACATATTCACCATTCAAACACTAACAGTAAGAACATTTTGGCACTTAATTACTACAGAGTTGTTTTTCATTTCAAAAAGATTACTAATAATATCACACAACATTTATAAATTTGTAAAATGTGTATTATTATAGCTAATATCAGTTATTAAAGTAATTAAACTAATGCTTAATAGAATTTCAAAACTATACAAAAATATTTGAAAAAAAAAGAAGTGAAAAAAAACTAAAAATAGCAGAAAAAAGCATTAGTTTTTACAAAAATAAAAAAAGTATTAGTTTTTACAAAAATTAAAAAAAGTATCGGTTTTTACAAAATAAAAAAAAAGTTATAAGAAAATAAATATACTTTGTTTCAGAAAAAAACTTAAGAAATTCATAACAGAAGTAATTTTTGAGCAATTGTCATAAATGATATGATGCATCCCAGCTTTTACATATTTAATATATCATATGAACACAAATTAAACTGAACAAGAATTGAGATGGAAGTATGTTACACACTTTTAATAATCTTATGAAATGTTTTAAATTCCAGTTCCAATATTTGTTGTTCTTTAAAAGGTAAGTATTCTCAACCTAAAAACCATCCTAATCCACCTTAAAATTCATGTTGTCTGCAAATGTTATTAAGAATAAACATCAAAACAGTTTATTGAATTTATATACATTATTGAGATTAGTTTTTTTTTCAGTTACAGATTGGAAAAAAAATTATTAAAAAAATGCAAGATTAAGAGAGTCATTAAGGTGAAAATTAGAGCCCCAATAAGTTTGGCACTCTCTACTTGCTTTATATATGCGTTGTAAATAGTTCAAAAAAAAATTATTTAATGAATAATAGAATTCAATGAATAATAGAATTCAATGAATAATATAATTTCCTGTTAATTGATGCCTTTAAAACAGTCCCATTTCAGAAACTAATGTTTCCTGATTATACATTAGAGGAAAAGCAATAGTAATATTTTATATTCCATACTTATTATTACATTTATTTCATTATTACATTTTGATTACTTTCATAAATAAATAGGCTAATGCAACTATAACATTCATTCTTTTAATTAATACTCAGTAGACCTAGGCTTATATAGGTGTTTGTTCTATTTATTGCATATGGTCCACCATTTAGTAAGGCATATAGAAGTCCTTAGGTGTGGAAATCACTTCTTTAAAGGAAGATTTTGAGCATTATACTAAAAACTTGATGGGTAAATTTTTTTTACTAAAAAAAAAGATCATCAAGATAAAATAAAAATTATAAAATAACATATAAATTATTTTTTAATTTTTCAACTCTTTAAGTTCATATTTGAGCACAATTATAAATTTAAAATTTGCCCAGACGAATATCTAGGTAATTAAATTATTGTCTTATAGATTAAGGATTACTCCAGTTTTGGAGAGACAACAAAGTGTGGTACAAATGTAAACATTAATTTTAATTAACGTATATAAAGTCTTTATTAAGTTGCACTTATTTATTTCAGAAAATGTATCGTATTAATTAGTCAAAGAACAAGATTATTTTCTTATAAACCTGTCGACTAAGCTTGATTTTTTACTAGGTTAAAAAAAAAAAAATTTTGTAAGTAATCTTGATCTGTTTTCAAAATTATTATAATTTGTAGAGTAATTTCACTGAGGATTTCAAAATAAATTGTTTAAACTATTATAAGAATTTTTATGAAGTATTAAATCGAAACTCAAACTTTGTTAAATTAAAAATGAAAGCGTTTTGTATTTTATATCACAAAAATGATATAAATATAAAAACAAACTAACACTAGAACAATTTTTCTTTAACATCTACACCAATTGATCATTACATTTTATTGCTTATATAAAGAACATTTAGGCCAATTATGTGCAATTCACACAATGGAGCTTTGATTCCGTTGTTTTAATTCACCTTTGGAAGACTGTGGTATTTTTTTAAAATTTGGCATTTTTGTGTAAAAACATGCTTTTAAAGGCAATTTTAACCTTATATGAATAAGTATACAAGCTATTAAAGTAATTAGCAAAAGTCGATATTTTTCATTATCGTTATTTTGTTTAAAAATGTCATAACATAAAAAAAAGAATCATAATGCTTAAAAGCAAACAAAGTACAACCAAGCTCCATTAATAATAAAATAAATAAGATAAAACTGCTTTTGATTAAAATCCTTAGAAGTTGTATTTGTTTTCAACTACAAGATGTTGAGAATAAAAATTTCATATTTATAAATATTTACATAGTTAAAGAGATCTCAAGTACAAATAACTAGTGAATTTCACATTTACAGGAAAAATATTTTGTAAAAAAATGCAAAAGATGGTAAATAGTTAGAGGTTTGTTTGTAAAGTAATTACAAACACAGCTTTAAGCAGAAACAAAAAAAGAAAGAGCTAAGACTTCTAGTTCTACATGTACTATGAACTTTATAACAACTATGCAACTTAGACTAATTAAGAATATTTGTATTGAAGCGCATACTGAAATATAAAGCTAGAATACTCTAAGTTTTAGATTTTAAAGAAAAGAAGAATTGCAAACTTAATTAAACTTTTTACACTAAAGGAGTCTCAGATCTTATAAAAAAAGCTTGATAAAAATAAAAAGCATTTTAAAAAAATTCAAGAACAACGATATTTTAAACCAATATATATAAAATAAAACAACAAATTCAGAGCATGCCGAAGACATTTTACACTTAGAACAAAGCATGCTATAATGCCAACATAAATAAAATTTTAAACCTTAAAAAAATTTCAAGCACTACTTATATTAAGTATTAAAAATTAGATAAACATATTTATAACGATACATGTAAATATATATAGGTATAATTTATGCAGTATACATACTTTTAGATGGTAAACAATGTAACAACTTGACTAGCAACAGAAGTTATGTACAAAAGAATTTATAAAATATCAATAGAAATTCGAACATCAATTTGAAAGCTTCTATAAAGTAAAAACAGTAACAGGAGTTGAATTTTATTGAATATAAATGTCTGCCGGCAGACTCAAACATATCTTTACACAAATATTGCTTCCCTTTCGTAAAATCCAATTGTTATATACGTGTAAAAATTTCAAAATTCTTTATTCTTAAAACATAACTATACAGTTTTTAAAATCAGTTTCTGGTCCTCATGTATTCAACCACATACACACAGATGCCTTTAACTTACACCTGACTGCCAAAGTAGTGATTTATCCCCAAACAAGTTGAGCATTCTATGGAAGTACTGAAAAATAAAAATGTATCCCAAAATTAAGAACTTTTTTAATACAGTATAACCTCAAAAATCCAAATAGATTTTTTCAATGAGTGAAGTTAAAAACCATGTAGAAATCTTCAGCAGTGATGCACAAAATTAAATGAATTTATGGTAAAATTCTTACAAATTGAGTGTCAAAAAAAAAAAAAAAAGCATGTTCAAATACTAACACAGCCAAACAACAATCCATCGCTACTATATATGGTCTTGTTTTAATAGCTTCGCTATGCCATTCTTTTAATGTTAATAATACCCACTTTTGTAACTAGTTACTCTCCCGAGCAAAGTGATCCAGATGGATATGGTGAACACAACCAGTTCCAACATTTGGGGACGGTCTTGAAGCCTTTAAAACAACAACAGACTTTCTGTATTCAAGCAAACTTGCAGGAAATGAACAGCAATCTGTTACAAATTGTGCTGACAAAAATGTGTTCTAACCATAATTGTCAAATATTTTAAATAAATTAATGTGTTTATTAATATCCTTCGATTGTGTCGTAAATACTTTTGCAGTAAGAACATAACTTTTTATACTTATTGTAGCTTTATTAATTTTCAAGACATTAATTGATATTTTATGTTGATTTAAAAACAACAAGAACTAAAATATTTTCTAGAAATTATTTCTGAAGAAAGGATAGACAAATCTACATGAATTTATGATGAAATCAGCATATCAAAAAAGTTTTGCATACTCAAATGGGTGATTGCAATTAAATAATTAAGGTGAACATGATTTTTTATAAGTGAAAACTTCCTATTCAACAGGACCATGAATCCCCATGATGCTGTTCAATGGTTTTACAGTGGACATCAAATCCACTGTAAAAGTACACCATTGTTACTAGTCCCTAGGTTCGATGCCTCATTGTGGATTACTGAAAGCTGTAAGTTAATCTAAGCTGTGCAGCCGCATATTTGTACCTATATTAAACATGACTACAGATCAAAAAGATTTTTATCAATAGATAGGCGATAAATCAGTGATCAATTTAAAATTTTATTACTCAATTTCAAATTTTTTAAAAATAAATATTCTGTTACCAGAAACAAAGATTCTTCCACATATAGAATATATGGGATTATTAACAAAAAAAAATATTAGAAATTAAAAACTGTATATTACAAAACATAAGATACTTACACTATTTCATAAACTAACTACACAGCAACAGAACTTGAAGTAGAAGTTTGATGGAAAGCTCCAGGAACAGATGGCGCTCCAAGAAGACCTAATCTTTGTTTCTGTTTTCGTTGCTCAGTCATCTGTAAATTTTCAAGCGTTAATTAAAATATTTAATCTCATAAAATGCATATAAAATTAAAATACATCAATCAAACTTTCTAAAAGATATCACGAGAACATGTCACTCAATCAAAACTAGTATAATAAATGGATGTGAAAATGACACATAAATGAGTAGTTTTTTATTTATCTATATGTTCCTCCAGAAATAACAACTCATTTGGGAATAAACAAACAAACTTCTTTTTCCAACCTTTATAGTTATCTTCCAAGAGGATGAGGCACATCTACATTGTGAGTGAACAGAAATTTCCTAGTCAGGGGAAGGTCATAAGTGATTTTGATCAACAGATCCTTCAACCTTATTGCCTTTGGAGTTTTTTGTAGGCTAAATTTAATCCTTTGTGTATAAGGTCAAGATCACCACAGGTGTTCCAGCTGCCCCAGACAACATGCTGTGTACAGTTTTTTATTTAGAGAAGGGTGGCCATTCAAATCAGGTTTCAAATTTCCCTGATTTTTCCAGGTTTTCCTGGTAAAAATCCTAAAAGTTCCAGGTCAAAGTGTTTTTTTTTCCACATAAAGTGTAGGATGGGCACAAGAAAAGTGTCAATATTATAAAGAATTTTACTTTAATGATATTTTATCATCTTTGACTCAGGGGATAGAGCGCTAGCCAGGTCACCTCATGGGAATGAGGTGACCTGGAAAGGTTCTCTATTTTTTAAGAAACCATAGGAGTTTCATGCAGCAATTTAGTTTAACAAGGTTATAATGGACTAAATTTTGATGCAAGCGAAGTATTGCTAAGTTGATAATATTTCAACTGTTTGGCAAGAAATTTTCGTCTAAAAATGGGTATAACAGATGGCAAAATAATTTTAATTAAGAAAATAAGTAAATAATTTAAATTAGTCAAATTAGGAAAAATCAAAGAAAAAATTCCAGCTTTTCATTAAAAATTATTGATTTTTCCAAGTTTTTGTCCAAATTTCCCAGATTTTTCCAGTTTTTTTCCACTATAAAAAAATTCCCAGATAATTCCAGGTTTTCAAGGTGGGTGGCCACCCTGAGAGACAGGGCAGGATTGTTTCCCAGGACAGTTATTTAGATTTAACATCTCTTTGTCCCTAATTTTGTATTATGCTGGAGAGATTCTGTTATGGATGAGTCTTATCTTAAAGAGAGCTCTAAGTTGTCTGGACATTTATTATAGGCAGGCCCAGTAGCAGGATTTACTGGATGAATCAGCAGCACTATCTTCATAAATCTAAATTTGTTTGCGACCTCAACAGTAACAGCCGAAGATTATTGTAAAAATTACACATAAAATCTTTATGTTGTTAAAATTAAAGTTGAATTATATACAATGATTCTAAAACAATTGAACAAATCCCAATGCAGTTAAGCCTGTAATCAAGTAACAGAAAAAAATATTTACTTTTGTTCTTTAGAGTTTTCTCAATTTTGTTCTTTTTAATTTTAATTAGGCACAACTTTAAAGATTTTTTTTTTAAAAAAAAGAGCCCTAGCAATTAACCTCCATTTATTTGTTTGTTTTTAAGGAATAAAAAGTAAACTTAGATGAAAAATAACTGGAGGGTTTCAGCTACACGGCTGGCAGGCATGAGAGAAATTTAAAATCTCCAGTCTGGTTGACTTGTATTGACTCTAAAAATATTATTTCTGCATTCTGATCTTTTGCACGACTTTGTTTAAATTCGTAGCTTTGTTTTGTACATGCTCTTCCCTAACAAGCATATTCAAGAGCTACTACTATAGATGAAATCACATTTCGTTTGCTAGAGCATGTATTTCATTAGCCATGTTAAACTCCGATGAATTGTTAGGGGCATGGGATGAAATTTTGACTAACAATTTGTGTTTGTGTAACTAAAGTTCTTTTTCGTAGAAATGAGTTGTTACTTTCGAATCACCCTGTACTTACTTGATCCTTTAATTCAGCCAACTGATGAGATAATGTAGACACTAATTTCTGAGTATTTTCTAGTTGAACTTGCAAAGTACGAAGTTCATTTTGTTCTCCTTCCGCTTCATCAGCAGCCAGAGACATAGCACGCATTCGTGGAAACCAATCAAGATTACGGTCCTATTATTTGAATTAGAATCAGGAAAGATAAATGAATAAATAAAATGATATGTCATACAATATAAATTTATGCAGTGACTGTGAATATTTTAGAAATAACTCTTCCTACACTGTACCAAAACAATTACTCTAGTAAGGTTTCCTGCTGAACTATAATCAACTTGTCCTATTCATTGCAGTTAATTTAAAAATACGAAAATCTTTATTAAAAATATATAAAAATGAATAGGAGGGTTACCAAAAAGCCATACTAATATTTAGAAACAATCGTCACAAATATTTATCACAAACAATAAAAATAAACATAGAAAGTCTTCTTCAGCAACATTTATAATTTTTTCAAATTATAATTTGCTCTTAAATTTCTTGTTTAATCTATCTACCTTGACAGATGTTGATAGTTTTGAGGGCATTTTAAAAATAAAAGTTTGAGAATAGCTGGTAAGTTTTGACATAATGTGAAAGTAATGATTTTTGTCATTTTCTGATTGCCTTTTGGGATTGTAGTGAAATATATTTGATTTTAAGATAATTTTTAACAATACTTTTTGTCTTCATATTTTAAAGTAAGTTTCCAAATCAAATAAACATTTTGGTACAGAAAAATAGGAAGTTTTCAGGGATTAATTACATTGAAATCATTACCAAATGATTTAACAAATAAAGTATGACAGTGTTTTCAGTACAGCGCGAGAACCTCGCATTAAAAAATGATTACCGCGAGAAATCCGCGCATTCTATAAATCAATTTCAAAATTCGCGAATTTCTCGCATTTTGAAAAAACTTCGCATTACGCTATTTAGAATAAAATCCGTTTCACTTTTCTTCCTGGATCTTTCATTATTTTCAACATCTGTCCCGTTTTATCTATAGCTTCCCTATTTACCAGTATTGTTTAGAACCTTTTCGAACAACAGAACACAACCCTTCCGAACCACGGAACCCCTTTCAGAACACATTTCTCTGCAACCACGTGCTTGCCGTAGATAAGGTTTCCTCATGTAAGACGTTCAAATTTTTTATGCACAGATGTAAGATGGACAAATACCTTGTAAAAGCAAAATCTCAATGATGATGCAGCAAAAATATTCAATGCTTTAAAAAATAGAAGACGTAAAGATGTATTATAAATTACAATTAAAGAAATGATTTTTTCCCCATTCTATTTGTGTTTTTTTAGTTTTTAGAGATCTCACTGAACTTTTTGAAATCTCACCCTGTTTTTGAGAAAGGGTGAGAAATTCTCACCCATTTTTTTTCTATGATGAAAACACTGTATGACTTAAAAGACCGCATTTTATTATGATTAACTTCTTTCAAAGCATAAACAAATATTACAAATTATTTTGCTCTTTTATACATTATAAAAACCTCTAATTCAAAGATCGTAAATGGGCAATTATATTTTCTAAGTTTTAGAGCAATAATAAGTTGTTAACACTTATTTATAAAAGGAAAATAAGAGCAGTGGTGGCTCAGAGGATAGAGCACTCGCCTCCTAATGAGGTGACTACGGTTAAATTCCCAGCGATGGCTGGTCAAAATGAACTCCGCACAGACCACAGTGCTGTTGTAAAATATCCTCTGTGGCAGACGGATCCTGGGTTAGAGTACCCTTGCCGCCAGGCTAACCGTGGAAGGTTTTTGTGGTTTCCTTCTCCATGTTATGCAAATGCGGTTTATTTACATCAAGTAGTTCTCTATAAAGGCAAAATTTCTCACAATACTCAATCCAGGAGTTCCCTTGTCTTCTGAATTCAGTTCAAAATAACAAGGCTAAGTAGAACATTAATAGTCGTAAGCTCATAATTGGGTTGGCTGTTCAACGATGGTTATAAAATGAAAATAGAAGAAAGTTAAATATGAATAAGTATTATTCTTAAGAATTAACTACATAAATGCTTTTCTTATCAACATAATTTTTTCTGTTTATAGAGAAATAAATTACACAATGTGTAGAGTAATATGTGTTCAGTTTAAAGGTTTATATTTTAATTTTATTTCTTTAGAAGAATAGGATCAGTACAATTTATAAGAATAGAGCCCAATTAAGTACAAATATGTTAGAAACTCCGTACAAACATGTTTAAAGGCTGCAAACATTTTCCTTTGTGTTAATAATGATTTCTTTAATAGCTATTTACAAAATTATTCAGGAGTAAAAGTTCTGACTTTACATTGGAATGTTTTTAAGAGTATGATGGTACCTGATAGCAATCATTTCCATTTATTAAATTGTTAAATTTATTAAAAACTGATGCAAAACTTTCCGAGATATTGTAATTAGCAAATACCTTTATCATAGATGCAACATAACTTTCAGGGCCAGTAAACTCTGTTGGATCTTTTACAATTACAAGAACTATGAAATACAAATAATGCCACATATTATGTTCACATCGTATATGCTCTTCAAATGATACTGTTTTATTATCAAATGAAGCTCTATCCAAACCTGTAAATAAAAGGGATGCAAATTAAAGTACTAATTATAAAATAAAAAAACTTATTGACATATTTCAGCTCAACTACAATAAAGTGAATTCTGTAAAAATAATATTTTTGTTTATAAGTAAGAATTAAAAGATTATTTGTAATTGTAAATTGCATATACAATAGAACTCTGATAATTTTACCCCCACAAAACCATGGGTATATTGAAAAATCAAAATCGTTAGATAATGAGGGGCCTATTTAAAATGGTTTTTTCTTCGGTATATAAACATTAAACTATGAGTAGAAGAATCATTATGAGTAATGGCCATAGTAAAATATATATATAAAAAAAAAAATTATTATCAGAATCAACAACACAAAATCATGAAAAAGATTCATTTTTCTTAACTTTTCAATTGTAATTTTCTAGCCACCAAATTTTGGATTAGTCGCCAAAACAGTAATTCGGATAAATCAGCTATAATGACTGTGAAACTTGGAAAGGTGGAATGCTTTTAATGTACTTTGAAATAGATGTCAGATTATTGTTCCACTATACTATACACTTTATAAATGGTACAATTTCCTCAAAAAAAGAAAAAAAAATAGTGATTAAAAAATGCTTCTGCTCCTTTATTAAATTATAATTAATAAAATTTAACAACTCCCGCAGAACTTGCAAATGCAGTTACATAGTATTTATTTTAAATTTACAGGTAAAAATGCCTTTTTACTTAATTGCTGTGGATGGTAACAAACTAAAAATCATTGTTTCTATATTCTAGAGCCATTATTACACTGTATATTCCTTTTTGAAATAATAAGCACTGTTTCTACATTCTAGAGTCCTTATTGCATTGTATATTTCTTTTAAAACAATAAGCACTGTTTATACATTCTAAAATCATTATTGCATTATATGTATCTTTTTAAAATAATCTCAGATTTTTAACAATTATAATAAGGGTTTTTATAAAATTTAAAAATATATTTTAGGTGATTTTTGATTTTTTTTCTTAATTAAAAAAAATAAGCAAAACACATACCCAGGTATTTATTTTTATACCATACACGTTTCATATTTAACATAACTTTTTGAACTAACATTTATAATAAAATTACCTGGTAATGCAGACTATCACACCTTTAGAGTAACTAATTCAATAAAAAACTTACTTCTTAAAAAAACCGCTATATTACATTTTTAATCGGACAAATACAAATCACTGTGCATAATTATTAGATCTTGTGAATACGAATTGCAAGGAGCAGTTTTTAAATCACGTATATATGCCAAAATTTATGCTTGATATTACAAACGCGTGAATGCGAATTGCAATATTAGATTTTAAAGATGCGTGAATATGAATTGCGGCATTAGGTTTTAAACTAGCGTGAATATTAATCGTGATATTTGGTTTTAAAAACATAAAAATCAGAATATTGGATTTTTAAACCATGTGAATATGAATTGCGATGTACGATTTCTAAATCGCATGAATATGAATTGTAACGCATAGCTTTTCAATCAAGTAAATACAAAAATCGATGTTTGATATTAAAAATCGGGTGAATAAGAATAGTAATATTGGTCATCCTGGTACAGTTCTAAATATTCAAAATGGCAAAAATCTTCAAAACCAAAATAATGAAATTGGTGAAATAATCACGAAAGACATAATTGGCAAAATAATGCATGTAAACATCTCGTTAACGGGATTTAGAAAAAGCTTCAAAATTTTGATCGATTATAAGTTTTTGATTCACGGGAGTTCCCGATGAGAGATGGTCTCGAGATCTGCAATATTTGGCAAAAATCGCATGTCTTGCTTCTAGTTTTTAGACCCGGAAGAATGATACGGAAAACCAAAAATTTCGGGGTATCTCTGGAATGCAATCACCCCTGCATACCTTTAGACCAGTGGTTCCCAACCTGGGGGCGATAGAGCTTCTCAAGGGGGCGATAATCCTTAGGGGGGCGACGAGTATTCAAAAGACAAAAATTGCTCATAATATTAATAACTAAAGCTATTTGAGATTGAAATTGAAAATATATATGAAACTTATGGTTCTGGTGTAGACAAAGAATTGTGATAGTTAAGAATAGAAAAAAATTCAAGTGCAGGATCGTTTTCGTCATACGTTTTGGTATCGCAGGCGGAAATCTGATAAGTCACTTTGTTCCTCTGAGCAATAATACTGTTTCCAGGTGTATTGATGAGATGGCCACCGACGTTGAATCAAAACTCATCAAATTTTTGAAAGAAGGTAAATTTGCGTTGCAGATTGATGAATCAAATGTGATAGATAACAAACTGTTTTAGCTCACGTGAGATTCATAAATGAGAGTAAGGATCCTTACTCTCATTTATGAATCCCACGTAAGCAACATTTCCTTGTTATGTAGCAGGTAAACAACATTTCCTCGTTAATCTCGAGATTAACGAGGAAATGCTGTTTACAAGAACTTTGAACACAGACACAAAAGGATCGTCGATTTTTAAATTGGTCAAAGATTATTTTGAGGAAAAGGAAATTCCCCTCACAAATGTAAGTGCTTGTGCAACAGATGGTGCTCCAACCATGTCTGGTTGTCATACTGGGTTTCTGGGTCACCTTAAAAAAGAAGTACCGGAAGTTATCTCACCATTCATTATGTCATTCATCGTCAACTTTTGGCTGCGAAAAATTTGTTATTTCTGGCATCAATAAAATAAAAGCTAATTCTCCTAATAACCGTTTGTTCCGAGAACTTTGCCATGAAAGTGATGAAGATTTCTAATTTCTACTCCTATATACAGCTGTGAGATGGCTTTCAAAAGGAAACTGAGTCGTTTCTTCGAATTGCTGGATTCGGTTACTGAGTTTCTCGACACCACTGATCCTGTTTTAAGTGAGAATTTGAAGCAACCTAAGTTGGAAACTGCGTACCTCACTAATAGTTTTGAAAAAAGGAAGGAAATCAACATAAAACTTCAAGGAAATAAAATGAACATTATCAAGGCTAAGGGAATCATATCTTCATTCATTGCCAAGTTTGATATCTACAAGTCAAACATTGGTCGCAAAGAGCTAATGCAATTTCCAACTCTTGAAAAGTGTTCAATGGCAGATATCAAGATTCTCGAAAAATAAAATCTTAATTTTTACTGATCACCTTGATCAGTTATGGAATCAAGATTTAAAGATTTGATGAAATTTGAAATTCCGGATTGGATTTTCGATCCTTTCTCTTTTGAAGTTGTGGATAAGCTCACTTCCTCTTTGTAGACTGAGATTTTAGATTTGAAGTATGACTGTGAGGCTAAAGTCGTCTTTAAAAAATACGGTTACAAGTTAGCTTTAGTAAAGTTTATGGACACTTATACACAATTGTGGAAACAAACTGAGCCGCTTCTCATCTCGTTCCCGTCAACATATTTAGTGGAGAGAGGATTTAGTTCTGTCTTCCAGCTGCTCACAAAGCAAAGAGATAGATTGGACATTTGCTTCAAAGGGGACCCGCGTTTAAATCTAACGAGCATAAAAAATGATATTCAAGTTTTAACTTGAAATACACCAAACACAGGGCAGTTATTGAAGTGGTAAAAATGTACTTTCTCACTCTTCATTTTTTTCTCAAATTTTAGCTGTTAACGTTTTAACTTTTTCTTGATTACATTAAAATATGAATTTAAAAAAATTTACTTTTGTTTTGATTATTCCGTTTTAAATATCATTTCTTTTTGAAAAAAAAAGATGCACAATTGTTTTTTTAATTAATAAAAATGACAGGATAAATGTGCCTCCTTATTTGCATTACAATTTAAATTAAAATCAAATAACTTAGCATATTTTCAGTGTTTGGTTGCTCACAAGCAGCAATGAATAGTTTTTTGAGCAAAAAGAGAAAGGGGCGATATGTGTCAGCCAACCCCAAGAGGGGGGCGATGGTCCACAAAAAGGTTGGGAACCACTGCTTTAGACTATGCAAGTTTTTTAAGAAAACTATAACAGTCACTCTAAACTTCACTTCTCTCTCAAATGTAATTTGTCATTTGCAAGGTTTTCTTTTTTTGTCTGGTAAAGAGAATTTAGTGTCTTATTTAAATTTTGCTAAACTTTCTCCCCTCTGTGCTTAAGAAATATTTGAATGGCCTTTTACATAATGAAGTGCTTGAATTTTATTTTAATAAGATTTTACTGATTTTTCTATTTTGTTTCACAACATTATCTTAAAATGGAACAATTATATATTTATCAATACATAATTCATTTTCTCTCTATAATGTACATTGTTTTTCAAATGCAATTCACAATTTACCAGAAATTTTTTTCGTTCAGATAATTTTTTGTTTTACTTAAGCATTGTTCAGACTACCCCCTCTTCTAAAGTTTGAAATAATATTTGTATGGCTCTTAACATAAAAGCATTGATTTTCATTTTAATTAACAACATTGTCTTACCAGCAATAATAAAATTTTTATCAAAAAAAGCACTTTTTACAAAATCAAAATTTAAATATTCATTTATTTGTCAAAAAAAAAAATTTTTTTTTTTGAGAAAGACCTGCTTATAATTTAGAAAAACTATTAAAGGGAATTTAACTTCAAACTCACCACAAATAAAACATGTATTTTTAAGAATTTCTTCTTTTTGCTGTTTTTCACTTCTTAAATCAGCAAAAGTATCAATGATCACACCAAAAATTAGATTTAAAACAATAATGATGACCACAAAGAAGAACAACAAATCATATATCACTCTGGCAACAAATAGAGGTTCCTGAAAAAAAGTTTACCATTAAAAAATACCAAATATAGGCTAGTTTATTTAAAAATAAATAATTGTCTCCAAAATTTGGTAGGAATAAAATAGTACAACAAAATATTTAAAATTAAGTATTCAAAACTCCCTTTAAATAACTTTACCTTCAATGAAAACAAAATCTTCTTACTAAGTATTGAGAAGATAACTTTAAGGAAATTTAAGAGAAAAAAAAATCAGAAAACTACAGGGTATCTGCTACATTTTAGATTTTCAAATTCACAACTAATTCCAAGAATTTTTCACGACTTAAAGAAGTTACAGTAGNCTTTCAATATTTCACAAAACATTTTCTTCAATATATCTTGCATAGTAAAACCTAGTTATACATAATTATATAAAGAATCTGTAAAAATATTATAATGCAGTTTTTACTATGCCACTAAATTTACAAATCACGCATTGAAGCCATGTATGCACTACTGCAAAAACAAAACAAAAAAATTGCACATTGAATTCACAAACACAAATGTCACATAAATTTCTATAATCAAACGCTGTTAAATTACCCAAACTAAAGAGCTGTAAAATTTTAGTATTCTGCACAAAATTAAAATAAATAAAATTAAAATAGTTATTTTTTTAAAATATCAATAAGGAGAATTTTAACTATTTTAGTTTCTTCCATTTCATCCAATTTTTTTCATTCTTCCAGTTTTTTAAAGCTTCTTTCCACACAAAATGTCACCCATGGTTTTTAAAAAGCCATGATAACAATGATTACATAGTTAATTACACAGGGTGCATAGCCAAATTTTGAATAAAAAGTTAGAACCTCTTAAGCACTTCTTGAGCACTCATGAAAGATTCTTAAACTCTTCATTTCTAAAAAAAATATAAGGGGATATTTCCTTATCGTTATCTGTAGGGCCAACTACAATCACCAAATCAAAGTGCCAAATAGATTTTGAACTTTAAAAAAACAAGTAGGTGCTTGCCTGGGGGTGGATACGATTCAAGTTGGTCACTTTCTGTGATTTTTCTTATTTTTAGTTTCTCTAAGGCCATTGCTCAATAGCCGCCAAAACTTGGCGATTATTCTGCAACAGATCACGATACAGAAATCTTTCCAAATATGATTAGGATATGTGCATGAGGGTTCGATAAAACATCGATTAACGACACTTTTTGGTCGATCCAGAAAACCGGGAAATTCAGATATCCGGGATAGCGATGGTCCCGAGCATCCCGGATAATTGGTTCTCTACTGTATTATTTTCTCCAACAAAAACACAACGATAAATTTAAAAAAGCATTACAATGACATAAATGATAGGTATAAACAAAACTGCTATACTCTGCATCTTCATGTTTATAGATTTTAAATATAAAAAATAGAGTAAAGATAGAGTTGAAGCAATAAAATAGCTGGAAAAAAATACAAAAGCAAATTTTTTCCTTTTTTCTGCAGATTTACATTCTGAAGATACTTTTCTTGTTCATCGGAAAAGAAAGAAATACTCCTGACTTTTCCGTTCTCATTTAGGAATTTAAAAAATTCGCCAATGACTGGCTTGCTTCCTCTAAAATTTTAAATGGATAAAACAAAAAGTATATATAATAACAAAAATTCTGAAATCACAGAAGTTTAAAAGACAATTCGCTCTAGAAATGATGTTCTTTTTTCTGCATTTTTTGAAAGAACACCATAAATTTTGAAGAACACGATAAAAACATTTTATATTTTAATCAAATATGACTGTGGGTGGGGATTTTGCTACAAATTCAGATATTCGGAAGACCATGAAATTGGGAAGGGGGGGGGATGTGATTCCATTTTAAAAATAAGATTTTTCGACGACCTAAATCCATGACTTTTTACGGTTTTTTAAAAAAATTAGTTAAAATCATGACATTTCATGACAAATTTTGTTCAATACTGAAATTCATGATTTTTCCACTGGATACCCTGACAATACTATTCCAAACTTAAAAATATTACTATGCACTCAAGATATTAAAATCAAATTATGCTATAAACTAAGCCTGATGACCCAAAAAGGGAAATATTACTATGATGACTTTATAGGATGGCACCTGGGTTTATCCACAAAGGTAAACAACTCCTCAGGGGGTCAAGAATTAAAAGTCAAAAATTTTTTTTTTCTAGACAATAACCATTTAAGATGCATAACAAATTTTATAAATACAAACAAATGAATAAAGTATTTACAGACTTAAGTCTAGCAAATATCACAACATTGTTTCTCACTATTCAGTGAAAGTCAATAAGGCTAAAAGAGAAATGTCATTAAACTACTTAATTTATTTAAATAGTTTGAGCTTACCTTTGCGCTGGGTGCTCTAAGAACATCTCCTATGCCACCTCCATTTCGCAAACCTTGATTTAGTGTTGTAACAATACACATTAACAGAGAATCACAGGCTCTTTCTGTAGTAGTGTCATCCTCATCATCTTCTTCTTCAGTTGCATTTTTTAATACTAAAGACATATTCTTTTCTGAAACAAAATAACTTTCCGTCAAACAATGCACAGCAAACAGATTATCTATGTTTTGTGTCTAAATTCAAAAATGTTTTTACTTTAATCGAAAATATATAGTTCAAAACTTAGAAGTTTTACAGCTAGAAATTTTTTTAATAATAATTAAGTGTTAATCTTTAATGTTTGTCAAAATAGTCAGTAATAATGATACTCAAGCAGTATTTGCATGATAATAATGATACTCAAGCAGTAATGATACTCAAGCACACAATGATATTCAAGCAGTATTTAGTTTTACATAAGTATACAAAGGTAAAATTTCTTTTTAACAAAAACAGGAATTCATTTATTTAAGAATGTTAAAAGAGAACTTAGCAAAACAAGTGAGTGATTCTTCTTTCAATTATCCAAATAGTAATAAAAAACACGAGAGTAAATAAATTACCACTTACCGCTTTCATTTAAAGTAGAATTTTCAACAGGAGGACTATACATATTTTCAGGTTTATTAGCACAATTAGAATCCTTTGCATAACAATGTTCATCTTTAGGAATTGGCACTTGGTAAGGCTGGGATGGCATAGATTCAGAATCATCTTCCACACCAATAGCAGCTATTTTAAACAATAAACAACAGTTGAATGCATGATTGCAAACCTCAGCACTATTGAACTGATTTAAAAAGCTTCCTTTGATTAAAATTGAACAAAGATAAACACTTCATGGCAAAATTTTATCAGGCTTTCAGCAACACTATTATTTTGCTTTAAGATACTTTTAATTATAACAATTACTAATTTAAAATAACAGAAACGTTATGTTTACATAAGAAAGTTATAGAATAAAAATGTATAACTGCAAAAGTAATATTTTTTTAATTCTAATGCTATAAGCGATATTCTCACATTTTGAAGGTGGAAAAATGAACTAATTATTTCCTCTTTCAAATTTTGTAAATCATTACACAAATTAAAATTCGTAAATATAAGTTAAACGACAATAAATTAAAAATCGTAAAATCCATGCAGTAAAGATCACGAACCATGTGGATATGACTCAATAAAAAAGGAGATACTCAAACAAGTGTATATAAAATATGGTGTTCTTTAAAGAAAAAAAAAATGAACGAAAGAACATCATTTCTAGAGTGAACTATCTTTTAAACTTTCGCAATTTCTGAATTTCTTTGTATTATTAATTTGAAATTCTAGCTGAAGCCAGCCTTTTTTTAAAAATATCAAATGAGAATAGAAAAACCATGATTTGTTTCCTCTCTGATGCGCAAGAAAAATATCTTTGAAAAAAAAAATTTTTTTCAAAAAATTATGCAGAAAGGAAAACCCAAATTTCCCCCTTTCCAAATGAAAAATCTTTCATTACAAATAAAAGTGTGGGTCCGCATGAGTTACAGTAGCAGTTAAGCCATTAGAGCTATGGGAAGATTAGAGTGCACAATTCAACAATAATCTTTCATCCTGCATTTACTTCTTATGAATTCTTAATCCTTCAACATATTTAAAGGAGATAAATCATAACCTTCACTTGAATGTTTTTGAATAAGTTCCTTTTCAAATATGTACAGCAGATGCAGGGGTCTGTCCAGACATTTTATGAAAGGTCCTGTTTTCGTAAAATAGTGAAAAAATTACTCATAATTTGTGAGTATAAAATAAGCGTTAAGTCACATACTTTCAACCAGGGTCCTGCCTTTGGGAATTTGTGCAAATAGGATCCTGTTGTTGCAAAAATTGCTAAAAACCTTTTCAAGAAGTTTTTAAATTGTAAATAGATACACTGCTACTAAATTAGAGATGCAACATACAAATATTTGGTATTTAACCTATACTGCTTAACACAGAATATTCATTTCGGACAAATAATGGAAACAAAATCACTCAGATTTTTAATAATTTAAAGTGACATATTTTAAATAACACAACTTAGTCATGTACCACTTTTAATGTGTTACGCATTAAGTAAACTTAAAAAATTCCTAAATTTATAATATTTTATTTAAAAAATTGCCAGAAATTAATTGTTATCACATAATAATCTATTAATTAATTTTATGAACAATTAATTGATATGAATCATAAATTGATCAACTATTTATTTACAAAAAAAAACAACTTATCATTTAATATCAATAAGAATGTGCACACGATGTTTGTAAAAGTAGAAATATTTTCTTAGAATACTACATTTTGGAATTTAAACTTAGGGAAACTTGGAAAACTTAGCTCGTTTCGAACCGTCTTTCTTTTTTTCACCCCCGGGAAGGGTTCATTCAATTAACAAAACAATAATGAAGAACAAAACAAATTTGTGAAGAGTCTAATTAAAAGATAAATTATTTTATGAAGGGTCCGTTTTTAAAGAAAGATATCTTGTGAAAGGTCCGTTAATGGACCCAACTTTCTTCTAAACAGACCTCTGACATGCCAAAAAAATGCAAACATTCTTAGAGCGTCTGCAAAGTTAAGTTTCACTCTCTAAATATTATTCTTGTTATAATACTACTACAATTATGTTTTGTACTCTCAAAATATAAAACTAGTAAAAAAAAATATCTTAGAAAAAAAAGTTTTAAGTGTCTTTTTACTTAGGCAGTTATATGCTATATTTTAAAGACCAATGTAAGCTTATATTACACAAAAAAGCTACATTGAAAAATAATGAATAAATACCTGGCAGTTTGGATTGCACATGGCTGTCCACTTCCATGAGAAAATCATCTCGGAAAAACAGATAACCAATAATTGAAAACAGATAAACTAAGATGAGAGCCAAAACAGCTGTTAAAATGATGGAACGGCCATTTCTTGTAACTGATTTAATGACATTTTTCAGGGTTTCCTCCTGATAGACAACATCTAAAAGCTAGAATAAAAACAAATAAATACATAAAACTAAGAAAAAATATATATAAATGTTCAACACATCCACAAATGCTAAAGTAAAAAATACCTACCAGAACACTATAGAAGAAAGGATGAGCACACAGTCCCAATATACAAAATATTAGATAAACCATATGATATAACAGTTCAAAATCTGTAAGTATTTGTCTGAAACTTTTTGTGAATGTCCCATGATTGCCCATGATACTAACCAAATGAACAGCTGTAATTACTACCTATATTTAAAATAATAACAACAATAAGTATTCATCTAAAACACAGACAAATAAGCAGACTGTATTAAAAATATAATAGAATACAGCTGTAGTTACTACCTATATTTAAAATAATAACAACAATAAGTACTTATCTAAAACACAGATAAATAAGCAGACTGTATTAAAAATATAATAGATTACAGCTGTAATTACTACCTATATTTAATATAATAAAAACAATAAGTATTCATCAAAAACACAGATAAATAAGCAGACTGGATGAAAAATATAGTAAAATATTATTATTATTATAGACAAACTTGACAGAAAATAAGCAAATTGGAAGGAATTAAAATAAGTAAATTAAGTTTAAAAAAAGCGAAGTAAAATATTAAAATTCAGTACTATTTTGCTCAAAGCCATAACACTTAAAGAATAACTATTATTAAATTTGCATCAAAATCTGGCAAATCCAAATGTAAACTGCATTTATGTCACTTAAGATTGGTGTAAAGCACTTTTAAATAACTTCTTAACAACACAAGAATGACCAACTTATTCACTAGACTTGAATCCAATTTATTTTTCAGGGTTTGCGTTCAGAGGGTTTGCGTTAAATTTCACTAGACTTTGGCATTTTTAAAAAAATCCACATGCAAGGATCAATCAATCTACTTCTAAATAAATAAATATAACATCTATTTTTGTTTAATGTAATTTTGTAATGCTGAAATTGCTAATATTATTTTTGTATAAAGCACAAAAAGAGCAAACACACTTAATAACTTTTAATCTTAATGATCAGGTTTTGATTTATTCGGTCAAAATCGTACTTTATTGGTTCAAGTGCCTAACCTTAGATATGCTATTTATTTAGTGCATACAACATTTTAAGTTGCTAAATCCGACACAGATACCTACTTTCTTTGAAGAAACATTCTTTTTTTTTTTACCACTTTTTATGCTTAAGTAGGGTAAAATATAATCCCGATTGTTTACTCAAGATGTAGTAGTAGAACCCTTGATGATAATTTCACTTATAGCAGTTGCTTCAAGAAGTTTTTCAACAAATCAAAACATTTTAACACACTATTATGAAATTCATTTACCTTAAGATAATTCCAGGAAAAAAAAAGAATTTTTTTTGTACTTATTATTTATTTATTAGCTGTCTAAAAATATTTAAATTGCAAGGCATACAATTTCAATGACATTACTTTTAAATAACAAAACACAAACTTAGAGCAAAATTGGCAGAGTAGTTGGCCATAAATGAATTGTAAAAATACAACTTTTTAAAATTTGATTATTTCGAAACGATTCAAGTAATTTTGTTCGAATTTCGTACAAATTCACGTCTTCACATGAAATTATTTTTTGGCTAAACAAACTTTGTAATTGTGTACAGAAATTTTTTAATTAGCTTAAAGAAGCTCTTGAGACTTGGCTAAATATGCAAAGAGTGAAATTAACATTATTATTACGGGATCCAAAATTTAGACTGTTTTCTTGACTAAACAAATGGCAGTAATCTGGAAAACCTATTTTATACGTTGTGGCCATTAGTTTAGTAGATTGCGGCTGCACCCCATACTTTAAGGGTCAATAATCCAAATTCATCTAAGCAAAAGTAAGTTTATTCAGTAGATGTATGTTTTTATGTTTAATTTTATAACCTAAAAAAACATTGTTTGCACTAATTAGTTAGCATATTTAGACTTGAAAAATGACGATTGAGTCTTTGTCTGTGAAAATTTAATTAATAGACCAAAAATTATTCAAAGAGTTCACATTTTTGCCCATTGCACATGAATAAGGCAAAAATTAAGAACTAAAAAAACTTAAAAATAAATAGGTTATAAAGATATTTTTTTTTTACATTTATGGTACCAAGCATCCATAGCGTAGGTTGAAGTCCTACAGAATAAATCATGCGCAGAATTGTTGAAAACACATAAGCGCGAATGACAGTAGTTCCCGGCACGGTAATAACTGCAGCCAATGATGCAAACATAACAGTCCATATTAAACCAGATATGCGAGGATCAATTTTTCCTATGAAAATATGTTTATTAAATGAATTTTCAAAAGATAAAATGCCATAATAAATAGCACACAAACATCTGATAATTAAAATAAATAAACTTACCTGAAAAATCAGGAAAAGGATAAAAAATTGCAACTATCACATTAACTAACACAGCTAAGTTGAAGGCGATTGTACTCCACATAGACATGTGACGACTGACCCAAAAAAGCAAAGGTTGACCTAAATAAGAAAGTGCTTGCTTTAATATAATTCATATAAATTCAATTGTTTATACTGATCAAACATTGTTATTCGATAGAATATAATAACAAAAAGGTTCTGTTTTGAACTAACACATTAAATAGGCCTCTATGTTCTCAAAAAACTCAACTGTTGACGGTGGGAAATAGAAGAGGAAAATTCTTAATTTACTTTTAATCATCTTTATTTAATTTTCAGAAATAACCTAATAGCAGATATTTACTGTATTCAGCAGCATTTTTTAATACACATAAAAAACAAGGCCATCACCCAATCAGAATTCAAGATATAAAGCATGTGGTATTTTAGATTCTCCATAAATTTTCTAAGACAAAATTATCACCAGTTTTTGGAAGGTATTTAAACGGTTGTCAGGTTTTAGATTTTTGATAAGTGTAATTATTTTTTGTCCAATTAATCTAAAAAGAATTTTTTAAACATCATCCAAATCAATTTTCATTAGCTTAAACTGCAATAAAATTAAAAATATTAAAACAGATAAATGTCTTGTTTCAAATTACTAACTCAAAACCACAAATCCCACAACTTTATTGCCTTTTAGTTCTGACAAAGTTCTAAGAATTATCAAGTGCTATTTTTTCTTATCTAACAAAGCCTTCATTTGTTTTTAAAATGGTATTGTGCTGTTAAATACAAAAAAAAAAAAAAAAAAAAAAAAAAAAAAAAAAAAAAAAAAAAAAAAAANAAAAAAAAAAAAAGAAACTATCAAGAAAACAGAAATAAAAAATGTAACCTAAAATCCTAGATGTGAGGTTCAGGTTAGAGATATCTTGGCTACATAGTTTGAATTAATAATTAAATCATTACTAAATTTTGCTTAGGGGAGGAGGTACATGTTAGATAAGAAGAAAGTTCATGTCCATAGAATAAAATAAGGTACTGGATAATGTAATAACTTTTTTTAGTAACCACTAGTTTTAATCATATCAGTTTTTTAATCTTATGATGCTAAGAGACTGAAATCTTTTTTATTTATATGTCCATTGACCTTTTTGAGAAAGTGATTGACAAAATGCTGAAATAGTTATTTATATCATTCTGACATTTTACAGTTGGCTTATCCGGAAAAACTGAAAAATTTAAGAATAATATTTTTTCCGATTATCATTGTTTTCAGTAACGTATTTTAGAACGTTTTAGGCAGAAAGGAATTTTGCACTCCGATATGTTTAAGCTGAGTCATTTTTAAAAATAATATAATTTAAATTGTAAAAATTTAAAGAGTTTCTTGAATTTTTGGAAAGAAAATTATGATAAATAAAATATTTTTAGTTATAGAACACAATGAACATCAACGAAAACAGACATTAATATTTTAATTAGGATATTATAAGCATATAAGACATTACTAAAAAGAAATGCAATTCAGAATAAGTAGTTAACTTGTTAATACCTCTTAATTTCTTTTGCCATTTCATTTCATTAAATAAATCATCAGTTCTTTCAAAGAAATCAGAAACCTAGGAGAAAATATATTAAGGAGTAAATAATCATTGCTAAATGCAGGGTTTAAACATGAACAATCATTTAAAATGATTAAATCTTAGAAAATGTCATTTAAAAGAGTAATTCTAATAAACAGAATTTGCTAAGAATATCAATAATTTACAGAAGTACACAACTTAATTCAATCCTCTCTTTTTGACTATAATAATTTCGGTCAAAATATTTTTGTTATTACAGATTTTTAGAGTTCACGCCAGCATGGCGACAATTCTCTCCAAATGTCTCTAAAATCATACGTCAGGGCGACAAATTTCAACTCATGAAATACATTTGAAATTTACAAAATCGTAACTAAAAATAGCTTTTTGTATCAAATTACATACAGATAAATTTTTCTTTTTACTAATTTTATTGCTCAACGCAAGGTATGGAATTCAAATACTTATTATTCAAATGAGATAACTGAAAGTGTATTAAATATTTAAAATTAAATGTTGAAATTTCTGATTTACATGTTGGGCTGTGTTTTGCATTCATGTACGGATAGTATAATTGCTCATCAATGAAATAATATTTTTTGCTCTTTATGAATTGACTATTTAAAATTTCAAAAATTTTTAGATAATTAATTTTTAATACAATATTTTGTTGGTTCTTACTTTCTCTGTTTTCCCCAATTATTTATTTATTTGGTCACAGCATTTTAATCTCTATCTTAAATCTATTTATTAATATTATTTTACTTTTTTTTTTTCAATTGATATTAATAAATCCTAATGTTTAATCTATTGGTAATGAACCAAATTAGTTTTAGGGTGTTATAGATGGCAATAAATAATTTTTTTGTTGTGTACCATAACATGAATTATGTAATTGTGAAGTTAAATTTTTACCATATTACCATCAATTTTTACCATATGACCATATTAAATTTTTGGACCACTAAGTGAATACCAAAGTGGTCTTATTAGACCACTAAATTTTCACTGCTTGTGTGAAGCTACAGATTTTTTGTTCAATTTTTACACACAATTATATTCCGAGGCCCAATGCCAGTTTTGATTCACCCACATTATCTTCTCTGGATCAATATAAGTAAAAAAAAAAAAAAAATGAAATGTATAGGGTGTCTCATAAAATGTAGGTATAAAGGGAGCAGTACATATTCATTAAGAATAAAATTCTCTTACTTTGCTTCCTTGTTCATCTCTTTCAGCTTTGAAGTATACTTGCATCTTTGACTCCCTAGTTAAAAACTCACAAATTTGAGGCACTGGAAAAACAATCTGCTCCATTGTACGGTCATTTCGAACAATCTAGATAAAATAATTTTAAAATATAGCTCAACAGCATTTTTAAAAAAATCTTAGCTATAAAAAAAAATCATTCATAACAACAAAATATTACTAAGTTTAAAAAAAAACATCATATGAAATATTTTTAAAATTTTTAAGATGTTGAAATAATTCAAATAAATTATTATCATATACAGTAGAGTGGCGATTATTCGGACAAATCAGAAGCAAACCGTTCCAGAACTAAAAATTCGGATAATTAAACTTTAAAAAAAAACACTATGAGGATGTTTTTCAGTGACTTGGTGCCACACTTTTTCAGGCTTAGGATTGGCAACTGTAGTGGTGCCTATTATTGCATATTACAAGTGGCGTGTTTAAAAGTTTTAATTTTTGAAAATTTTATTTGAAACCTGTGCCTTTATTAGTAACCACTCGCCACCCACCTTGAAACTTGGCAAGGAACGTGGAGTTCTTTTCAAGGTCACAAGGAAAAAAGCATTTACCTCTCTCTTTTTTAAACAGAAGGTCGGGGTAACACTACTAGCTCTTAAACACGTTTTTGCTAAGTGGGATTTCAACAATAATTCCCTTTTTGACTACCATAATCGAACACATTTATCATCATTACCAAATAAATGAGCAACAGGTTCATTACTAATTTCTTCCTCTATTTGAGTAGAGATCACCTAGTGTCACTAGAATAAAATCACAGTTTCTTTTACTAGTAGCAATAGTAACAGACTACTAAAAGATTAATATTTTTAAATTGAAAATTTTTTCAGTATTATTGAAATTGCATGATTTCTGTATTATGTGGACTTTCAGATACACACAAGCCTAAGCTTAACTTCTAAAAATGACTGTTTATGGAAACATTATTTGAAGAGGAATCAGAAACTTCACATAAAGTGGGGGGTATATTTCATTAACATTGTAGAAACTAGTTTGTAAGAATTGTTTTGTGGACAAAAGCAGAGTCAGGGTGCCTAGTCAAATCTTTCAACAAAAAATAAGCACCTTTTAAGCACTCAAAAAATATTTTTAAGCACTATATACATTAACAAAATGCAAAATAATTTTTCAAAGACATTATATGATCATGATAAAATAACTAGTTTCTGACTAAGAACTCTTTTCTTGATTATATTAGAAAAAGATGAAATTTTTCAGTTCGATATCAAACGTTGGAAAATGAAGCCTAAAATTGAGAATATCTTGTAAAATGCAGCAGAGTTGCCCATCAGAGTGCAAGAATCTTACCAAAACCCCCAGCTGGACTTTCAAGGATTTCATTTAACATGTAAAATGACTGGCGCTCTTTTACGACACGAACCGACAAGTCGCCGAAATAGATTGTGATTGAATGAATTGTGAAAACGTTAAATGGAACAATGCGAAAAGCGTATTTTGCTTATTACGTGGCAAAAATTGACACAGTAAAGAAAAAAAATCCCATTTTCGAAAAGGGAAAATTAAGCACTTTTTAAAAACGCCCAATGAAAAAAGCACCTTTAAGGGCTTTTTTAAAAAACGAAAATCGAAAATAAGCACCTTTAAGCAATTTAAAAAAAAGCTATGCACTATGAGAGTTGCATGCACTATTGAGATAGATTTTATAATAGTTTAACTTATAAGTTGGTTTTAAATTATATATTTTATAATGAAATTTGAGGGAAAATCTAGAGACATCATCTTAAAAATAAATTTCTGTTTTATATTATCTGAATACATCAGCTTATCTTTCTCTAATGGTGTAGAAACTATTCACAACACTAGAAAAATGTTCTCCATGGCTTAAATATCTTTCTAACAAAATAGGAATATAAATAAAAAAAAGGAGAATATAATTTATTCAAAAAGATTTTTCAAAATATAATTTGAGAGCAATTAAAACATATCTATGCAGTCAGAAATTTTGATACCTCAATTTGAGCAGTGTGGCTAGCATAATACTGTAAGGCTTGATTCATCTTAGAGTCAGGATCAGCTAAATTAGGCTTCAGCATATTAGCTAAATCTTTATTGTGCTGAGCCAATTGATGACACAAAATGTATATGTTATGTCCAACTTCTTTAGGAGAAACACCATCATCCACTTCAGTGACATCGTCACTGTCATCATCGTCTTCATCCTCACCTTCTTGATGGTAGGCATTGCATGCCACATCCACCTAAATAGTTAAGTTTAAATTTCTTGAATATTAAACTTTAAGTATTGAACAATACTGAATATTTAAGTTACAAAAAGAAAGATATTGAATTAGGAATTTTTTTTTATCTTAATAGATATTACATTACGTAACTAATTATTTTATGGAGCAATAAATGCATACTAAAGGCAAAACAAGACATTTTAAACCCAAATTCTCAGCCCTGTTGTCACTTGGGCCCCTTCCCTTTCCATTTCTGTTTTTCTCTTTACATTTGAAAACAGGAATGAAATTCAAATTTTTTTAAAAATGCGCAAAACATTTCTATGTAATTGTAATGATCTGTAACTCTATTTTATTAATTTTTAGCTCCAAATATTTATCCTTTTTTCAAGGGAGGAATCATTTGAAAAGAATGCCTGGAGGTAGTTTTCTTAAAAATCTTTTAAAAATTTCATACATTATTTCATAATAACTAACACAGACACATAAATAACGGAATACAAAAAAAGGATAGTTCTCCTTCAAGCTTAAATAAGTTCTCTATTTCATTAGAATATTGTGGGCAATCCCTGGAAAATATTCCTTGAAATAATTTGGAGATATGATTTTACACCTAATAGTTTTTAAATACTTAATAATCATTAAAAAAAATTCCTGGCTTCTGCTAATAAAAATAATAAACAAACAATTTGGAATGTTTATATCAAAATAGACACATCAAATTAGTAGCGGGACTGAATTGAGAAGAGACTAAAACCGCAATAAGAATAAAATGGAGGAAACAAAATGTCAAAAGACTTCATACTAACAAAAAAAAAAAATAAATTAGGTATTAAAAGATCAAATGCCTTATGATAATTAGCCATTAAATGAAACTTTTATTGTTTTGAGTAAGTACTGATTAGTGTTAAGCATAGACTCACTCTCAGAGACTTGAGGCTGAAGACTATAAATTTAGGCCGGTTTTATATGTAATTATATGTATTAAAGATTTTATATGAAAGATTAAGCTAAAATTTGTAAAGATATAAGACCAAGTAAAATATGTTTCAGATTAGTATATTGAGATCATTTTTTTTTATAACCGGCATTGAACAGCCATCTCCCAATTTTATGGGTTTACGACTACTAATGTTCAACTCTGTAGCCTTGTAATTTTGAACCCAATCCAGAAGACAAGGGAACTCCTGGATCGAGTATTGGGAGAGGAGGACCATGAGAACCTCCCACGGTTAGTCTGACGGCAAGGGGACTCTAACCCATGATCCGCCTACCACTGAGGATGTTTCACGTCAGCACTGTGGTCAGTGCAAGCCGGATGCGGAATTCGTATCGACCTGCCATCGTCGGGATCGAACCCCGGTTCACCTCATTGGAAAGCGAATACTCCATCCCTTGAGCCATCGCGGCTCGAGATCACTTATTTGAAAATTAGCAAGTAAATAAATACTATGTCATTAGCCTGAGTAAGAAAATTTTTTCCAGCTAATGAGCCTCAGCTAGTGTCGAGCCCAGCTGGGACTCATCTCCAATAAGGATGCATTAGCTACTTAATATGAAATACTAGAATGTAAGCAGATCAAAAAATTATTCATACTTATTACAAAAAGAAATGATTTATTTTCTATTTAACAAAGATAATGTACATTATGATGACTTGATGAGTTCTGAATGCAATAAATTAGATAAATGAAATAACTGACAAAAATATAAAATTTCTAATCTTTGAAATATCTGTAACTTATTAACTATCATTAGAACAAATTTAGAAAGCTTCTCCTAATATAATTTGAAATAATTTAATCTTAAAATATTTTTTAATTGCTACAAGAATTATAATGACAGAAAGAGAAATTTATGTAATTTTCACAAGCTTCCCACAATTTTCTGCAGCTAGATACAAATTTAAATTTCTGCATTTGATAATTTATTAAAATATTGCATTTCATTAAATTACAATAGAAGTATTTTGAACAATTTCAAAGAAGTTTTAATTAAGAAAAAGTACACAAACTCCTAAAAATAACTAAATCCTAAAAAAAAATAATAAAAAAAAAAATAGTTAAAATAAAAAATTTAAGCAGGTATGTTGGCAATAGTAGTAATACTCTTATTCACATAAATATCTCTTCCTCATTAATGAAGAAATTGAAATTTTCAGCAGTTTACAAAAGTTTTCAATTATTTTGTTGTCAAAGAAAAAATCGGTAAAACTTAAATCTGCAAAAAATAAATAAAAAATAAAATAAACAAATAAATGAATAACTAGAAAACAAAGTAATTGGTAATTTGAATTAAAAAATTAAGTTAAAAATGCTAAATAGTATTGCTTTATTATTTAATCCTTTATTTATTAACTTGAATAATGCAAATAAATATAAAAAAATTTCCTCAGTTAATAGTAAATTTATTTAAAATATTACTTTACCAGTTGCTTTGGACTCATATTATAGAGAATTCGTTCAGCATTTTCACTGTCACCTCTGCTTTCCATTATTGCCAGCAATAATTTTGATGCATTGTTCTGTATAAAAGAATACACAATAGGTTACAAAAGTAGCTTATAAATTTTTTAACCAAATTTAAATCCATTATCTTAAATATAAAACATTGCATATTGGCTTACTTAAAAAAAATTTTTAATTAAAAAATGGAAAGGTTAACTACAAATTACAAAAATAGCTACATGTTAGAACCAATTACAGGTTTTATTATTCTAATATTACATAAGTTTACAAAGAAAAACATTTTTTAATAGATTAGAAGAAATATACACAAACCTTCAGTTCAAGGACTAAATCCATTCGTTTCTTCCCCAAAGGATTTATGTCATTCAGTATAAGGGCTATTATTATATCAATGCCATTGCTTTCATGGACAGCAATACAGTTCTGTTGAAAAGAAGAAAAAAAAAGTATACAGACACAGTACATTTATCATGAATTATTTGCATTTTTTATTCAGTGTTAAATCTTTATAAAAACTTTATATTCTAGAAAAAAAAATGATTTTGGTAATATAAATTTACAAATGAAAGAATAAAACAAATTTACATTAGAAAGATTTATTTCAATCGACTAATTAATTTTTCTTGAAACATCTAAATTACGTTGCTTTAAGAAGGGAAGAAATAAAGTAAGTTACTTCTTATAGTACAACTAGACATTGATTGTATAATATAAAACAAGTACTATAAAATAAACTTATAACAATTTTTACAAACAATAATTAACTAGATAATATAACCAGCAATAGCCAAAAAATATAAAAAATTCGTAATTTAAAGAATTTCATTTTTAGAGGCACAGAGTGACATTAATGGGCAATTGGCGACAGGTTGAGATTCATGCTTAGTATTGATTGGAAAAAAATTAAAATAAAATACTTGAACATGCATACACTAGTAATTTAGATCAAATAAGCAGTAACTACCTGGCTACCACACTATGTTTCCTAACCATCCAAGGAACTTAATTTAGAAACTATTAAGGACATTAAAATAGGTTAGATTTCAATAAGAACTATCTTACACAGGGTTGCCACTCAAATCTCGAAAAAAAACCTTCCCTGTACATATTATACACAATATATTAAGAGGAAACGACAATTACTGTGCTCTTGTGTGTATTGGGCTAACTATATTTATTAGTTTTAATTGCCGAAAAAACAGCTAAACATACTTAAATAATGCTTTAGCAAATGAAATAGTTAAGTATAGCTGAAATATCAAGGTTAAATATCCCATAGATTACGCTTTGAGGGGTCACCATTTTTTAAAAGACTAACATAAGAAACAAAATTCCCTGTATTTTCCCACTTTGTAAAGAAAAAATCAAAAGTACACTGTTCATTAACCAATAATTGTATATTTCATAAGTAATATTATTCTCACTTAAATTGGTTCAAAATAATTTTTCGTGAACTGATAGAATACCTAAAAACACAGTCACTCCTTAATACAAATAAAAAATTGCGATCAAGGATATTTTCTTCATATAATTAATTTTATTTATTTATTTATTTATTTTAAAACTAATTACATTGGATTAAAAACTTTAAAAGAAAAGAGTTAGTTCAGTATTAGAAAAATAAAATTTTGTAATGATGATTTTTGGAGAGGACCAATTTTTACCACATGAGTACACTGAAACAAAAGCAAATATTATGTGTAAAAATAGACACTAAATGTAAAGAAAATAAATTAAAACTATTTACTTGATTTTCATGGCATGGTCCTTGGCAATATTCAGTAAGTGTTTCTAAAGTTTGGTTAACTAAAGCAACATTGTGTTCATTAATATATAAACCTAATAATCCAAGGCCTCCTGTAGTACTTCCACATATACAATCAAGGAACATAAGAGTTTCAGATACAACATTGTAACTATTTTTATTGGTTTGGTTTCTCAAGAAATTCTAAAAATAAAAGAAATTAAAGATCTTTAACAAAAGCAGATGGATATTAAATATTGTATTCAATTTTTCAAGTTTTGATTTTAAAAAAAGGAACAGATAAAAACTAAATAGTCATAAGTTATGTAATTAAACATTTAATTAAAAAAATTTAAATAACATTTTAAAAAAAACAATTAAAATAGTGCATAGTTGTCCAAAATAATGTTTTAAATAATAAATTTTTTGGGGGTAGTTTTTATTTGCAAGATGCAAACAAAAATATTTAAAAAAATATTCATAACTATGCAATGCTTATCCACTCTTTAAAATTATGATAATAATTAAGGATGTCGATTATAATTTGGAAAAAAAGAGAGAAAACTAATCGGTTTGCACAACACATACATTTTCTTTCTTAGACTTAATTTAATTTATTATATGTTTCTAATTGTTAACAGTCTTAATGAAAATATCGAAATAAATAATAGTAAATAATATCAAAATTAAATTATTAGACCTAGTTATCATTGTGAATCCACACAACTTAACAGAATTAAAAAAAATATATGGTTAAATGTGATGAAAAAAAGTTTGCTTTACATTCAGAAAAATGAAAGATGCTTTAAAACTTACAAAATACAAGAGGTTTCATAATTAGAACACTAGCATGCCATAATAAAGACAATTTTCGATACAAGACTTTGGTTATAATCTCCACAAAATAAATTGTACTATATTTTCAGTTATGTCAATGGCCACAGTTATACCAATTGTGGGTATTGTATACAAATAACCAACACAAGGGTTCAACATAACTAAATGATGACTATGAAAGATGCAAGGAAATCTTTTTAAAAAGTCACAATGCATATAATTATTTGAAGTCTATCACAATATAGTGAGTTGTTTCAGATAAAGAGTGAATAAAAATGTAGTTCTTTACAATATATATTTGAAGATAAATAAACACACTGCAACCTGTAAATTTAAAATAAGTCAAATACTTAAGATAATTGATTTACTACTTCAACAGCCTTTTGGATAAAACAAACTTTCTCAATTTCACTTTGAAATTTAACTATAATTACTAAATAAACAAAACTAAACACCACTCAATCTATAGCTACGAAGCTACATCCAAATTTAATGAGCTAAACTTATGTCTCCCGTAAAACATATTAATACTAAACAAGGAGCTAAGGAATATTTTTACTTTGAATTTTTATTAAATTTATCCTTTTTTTCATTAATAATCTGTGCTATGAAAATGTGCACTTACTTGCAAATCATAATTATGGTTTTCACACAAGAGTTAATAGGCTGCATCAGAACTACTTCTTGGGGAAGTTTGTTTTCTTCGGCATCTTTTGCTTTTTCAGCCTTTTCTGCTAAAATTTCTTCAAGAGCAATGTGGGTATGAGCCCCTAAAAAAGAGTTTGATACAAAACTATTAGGAAAGGGAAAAATATCAAATAAATAATGGATAATTCAAATAAATAAACATATTAAATAAATAACGGAAATATTAAATGAAACAATTTTAATCTTATATTCTATACTCAGACATTTCAACTTAATTATTATTGATTTGTAATAATAAATATTATTGAATGCATTCATTTATTAATGTGCTTTAATCTCCAGTATTGTTTTTTAAAATTCTTAATGCTGCCATACAAAACTAAAGTAAACTCAGTGGCACGACAGCCCATAGAGGGCCAAGGCCTGCCTACTGTGCTCATCTCAGTTTTCTTGACCTTGGGCTCTGGGCAGGGCTGCCACTGGATGAAAACAAGAAAAATAGTTGCTTTAGTTGCATCATATATGAAAAAAAGTCTCCTAAATAGTCTTCAAGATATATAAAATAGTTGCTAACATCATATCCTCCTCTAACATAATTTTAATTATTTGTGCTGTAGTAGCATAAAATTCAAATAACATGCAGTTAGATACTCATATTTTATAAAAAAAAAAGTACATCTATTTGTGGATTTGCCAACAATATATTCTTTCACACAATGCATAAAAACATGGAGTTTTATTTTTATCTGTTACAGAACAGTTGAATTTGAAACTTGAATTAGACAATAAAAAAATAAATATTGCAATTTAATTCCGTTTTATTTTGTTTATTTTTCATATCTGACACATTTCCAAATTTTAACGCTTATCAAAAAAATTACGATCACAACTCGACAAAACGAATATCACCATGTACCTTTTTTTTCTATTCTAAATAGCTCTAAAAAAATTAACTACACATTTTGTGTGATTAAAGACAATTTTTCTAATTTTGCTACTTTGTTCAAATTAAAAGAGAGAAAAAAACGTAATCCTCAGAGATATTACGTTAGCTTTCTAAAGCAGCAGGAGCATTCACATAGTGCGAATTCCAATTCCATCAGTCTGATTGGTTAAATATGTCTGTCATGCTTTTGACATCAAACAGTGAGAAATAATAAAGTTAGGATAAAACGAAAGCGCGGCAAAAAAAAGTGGGGGAAGGGGGAAACTCATGAAGTTATTCTTCATTTGAATCACTTCGGCTTAAAAAAGTCGCCGATTTTACGCAAATCATTGCAAACTAGTTGTTTTTACTCATATTTCTACTAAAATAGTCGCCATAGTTGCTATTGCTTTAAAATAGTCGTTTTAGTCGCCTTTTTAGTCTCCAATGGCAGCCCTGTCTGGGGTACAGAAGCAGATGTTTCGGTTAGGTGGTCAGCCAAAAACAATGACCAGTAGAAATAAGAGAGGAGAGTGAACCCAACAAAGTAATTAATGTGTGGAAGGACTACTTTAAAGACCTACTTGAAGGCAGAAATGATACTGTCGACACTCGGATCGACCAAGAGGATTCAGTCACTATCTGAGATGCGGAAAATCCTCCCCTGATGAAGTAAAGCTTGCTATTAAATAACTTAGAAACAACAGATCGGCTGGTCCCAACTGTATTCCATCTGAACTTTTAAAGGTTGATGAACCTGAGCTTATTAATGCTATCCATAAGATCATACTTAAAATTTGGGACAATGAATGGGAAGAAAGCTCTATCTGCACCATCTTTAAAAATTGAGACCAACTTGAATGTAGTAATTACAGGTATTACTCTCCTCAATACAGCACATACAATCTTCTCCAACATTCTTTTTGCTAGACTCCAGCCTTTTGCTGATAAAGTGGTTGGAAACTACCAACGTGGATTTACACCTCAAAGGTCCACCATTGACCAAATCCACACTCTAAGAAAAATCCTGCAAAAAACTAAAGAACATAACTTCAAGACTTTTCACTTATTTATAGACTTCAAGAGGGATAAGTTGCTTGAGGAAATGAATGAGTTAGGTATACCTGCAAAGCTTGTTAACATCACCGGCCCCCTACTAGATGGTTCAACGACATCGAAAATGATTTGAAAACCCTAAAGATTAGAAATTGAAAGGGAGGTGCTGGCGTTTGTCAGCTGTTGAAGCAACCAAGGCCTACAAGAGGCTGTTGCGCTGACAAAGAAGAAAATAAAGAAGAAAAAAACGTGACAACAATAAAAATAAGAAAAAAATACACAAGAAAGAAAATCTAGTAGTTTATATATATATATATATATATATATATAAACTACTAGATTTTCTTTCTTGTGTATTTTTTTCTTATTTTTATTGTTGNGAACATAATAAATAGATACAAGAAAACACGAAGAAAGTTAAGAAAAATATATATATATATTTGACTTGGTAAAAACAAATCTGGTTTAAAATAACATTAAAAAAACTAGACTTTAACGAAAGTTAATACAATGATGTTTATAATAGAATTAAACAAAACCTGTATATTTTTTTTTAATTTATAAAAAATATAAAATCCCTGGATACAATAAAAAATGTTAATAAGTTTTAATAATATAATGAATAGACAGTAAAAATTCAATTACCTGTTCCAAGGTTTAATAAATCTGATTCAGCATTCGCAGCAGCTCCTTGAGTACCAAGAGTTCGAACATGAGCATATGCTTTACTTGTAGCAGCAGCCGCATCTTCCAATTCTTCTTTTAATTCATCAGTCATAACTAAGCCATTCTGTTTAATATCTAAAATATGAATATTTAAAAATTAGGGAAGTAAAGTTTCAGAATTTTTTCATTATTTATTCATTGCATTCAGTGTATAAAATATCAAATAACCAACAGAAACCATCAAATATTAATAATGTTGAATTAAAGAAATTCAAAGTAATAAAACAAGCTGCATTTTAATATTATTAAAAATATACATAGCTACCAACTCAAATGATTGTTGGAAAATATTTCACCAAATGGTAGCAAAATAATATTTAAAGACAGAAGACTTTTTAAAAAAATAAACTATTTCACCAACACATGTTTGAATTGTTGATTTGTCATAGTGAGTAATATAATTTATTTTTCAAACTTTAAAAACCAAGATTTATACTTTAAAACATAAATGTTGCTTACCAAGAAAAAAGTTTATTATCAATCAAACCAGTTGAGAGATATAATTACTAAAGTAATAAAATTGTTTTCTTTGAAATCTAACTCACCTCCTGAAATATTGTTCTTTTTTATAAGTTTCATTTTATTTTATAAGAATTTAAAACGAAACTTGATTTAATAGAATAAAATTGATGGATAAAAAAATATCAATACAAGGAAATAATTTAAGTTGATTATTATGAAACATGGCATAACCAAAATGTTAAAACTTCTCATCACATTAAAAATAAAAACTTACTTTTAATTCTCCTGCCATCTTTGTTGAGATCTTTTGGAATACTGTCTTTTTCTTCACCAGTTTTATTAGTTAACTCCACAGTGTTTACCGTCACAGATGATTTAATTTCTTGCTGAGCATTTTTCATTTTATCATAGAACACTTTAAAAAATTTTTCAGAAAAATTTCCGGCAGTAAGTTTAAGCAACATAGATTTCTAGAAAGAAATAAAACATGAAAAAAAAGGCAGCATATTAGTCACAAACAAGCAAAAAAAAAAAAAAAAAAAAAAAAAAAAAAAAAAAAAAAAAANAAAAAAAAAAAAAAAAAGATTCAATCAATAAACTTTAAACAATAATAAAATATTAGTTAAAATGGGAAAAAAAAGTGGCACACGCAATAATTATCAACTACTTGAAGTTCTTAAAAAAAAATTGGCGGGTATGTGTTGTTTTGAAGTAAAATTTTCATTGTTTTAATTTTGAACAAATCAAATAAATAGGATTCAGCATTTTTGAAGAAGTGTTTTACTTTTGGGACCAATTAGAGCAATAATTTTACTTGAAAAAATTAGCTGGCAATTTTTACAAATAAAGTTATGAATAGCCTCTCACAACAAGAATAAATTTTTTTTAAAATGTGTTTAAACAAGTTTTTGAACGAATAAGGAACAATTTTTGAAAATTGTTTTGTTTAGAAGACTTCAAAGCACAGTTAGAATAAATCAGAGAATAATATTGTATAGAAATGCCTATTTTTGAGCAAAGATAGATTAGAGTACTTAAAAACAGTAAGCCCATCATTGCAATTTTATTTAAATAAAACATAATAATTATTCTATTATGGGATTTATGTAATCTAACTAAAGGTTTCAAAATTTTTTACCTGAATAACTGGATTTCCACCTTCAAGCAATGCAATACCAAGTTCCACACTTTCCAAAAATATAGCATTGCTAGGATTCTTCATAATCAGCTCAACAACTAAATTTGACGCACCTTCTTGGTCTAAATGGCATTGAACTTCAGCAAGAGTCATTTCAGCCCTGGTCAGAATAACACCACCAGGACCATGAGTTATAGGAGCTGCTGCTTTTGGAGGATGAAGTGCTTGTTTCCCATTTGCAATACTGTCACGTTTAGCTTGCGTCTTTCCAAAATATCTCAAAATCAGTGTTTGACGTAATGCTTCACCCTAGCAATGGAATATTTAAATTTTTCTTTTGTCAAGCAATAAGTAGATAAATAAAATTCTTAAAAAAATGCAGAAATTGCAAAAATCTATAAGAGAAGATTCAGCCAAACCTTTCAGAAAACTAATTTAGGTTATTTTAAAGCTTTAATATTTTTGTTTGTTCAATATTTAATTACATTTTCATTTATTCATCCAATAACTAAGAATTTTTGCTAGGGTTTAAAAAAATTGATTTTGCTAATTCTGTACTTCATGCAAAATTAAAATGAATTACATATTAGTTTCACGAGCTTTATTTCATAAGTTTAAATTTTTTAACAATTAGGAAATATGCTTAAATAATAATTCCAAGTGTTTTATCTGTAGTTGGTAAGATTATTAGTGCAGATTTTTTAGTAAGTCATTTTGCTATTATTTATCCACTGATAAAGCTGAAACTAATTTCAATCTATTATGCTCCATTTTTTTAAAAATTATTTTATATTTTATTATACATTCATTTATTGTAAAATTAATTAATGTGATCATTTTAAAATACACATGTCAGAATTTATTTTAAAATTTAGTTTCTTTTTTTATTTTTAATTATGTGAGTTTATACAGAAGAGTGAGGATACAAACAATATAAGCAATCAAAATTTGAATGGAAAATTTTTAGCTTCAGTATTAGCAAATTTAATTTTAAAGGAGGTATTGATATACATTAAATATAAATATTATGAATTATATTTTTGGCTCAGTGTGAAAACAATCAACATTGTTTGGCCAAATGCTACGGAAAATTTTTAAATTATACGTAGCATTAAATAAATTTTTTTTTAACCTTTTATCAGCAACTTAAGTTAGCTATTAGAAGAATAAACAGAAAAACACTTTTTCAAATCCTTTTCCTTTATATCATATTCATAAAAGTATTCTTTGTTACATTTTATGGAAAAATTTTACAAATGTATTTCTTAATGCTAATGTTGGTTTTGGTTCAAACTAAATGTTTTGAAACATTTGAAATATTTATTTTATAATTGGTAAGGAATTTCAACAAAATGATACAAAGAAACATATTAAATAATGAATAATTGATTTCTATGAGATCAGGCACAAAATTCACATTGATGAACTTCGAAGCAATAACCTTCTGAGAACTATGCACATAAATTCCAATAAAAGAAAATTTTTTGGGATAAGCAATTTTGTTGGACTTTAAAACAATTTTCTTTATAAAACAGGGGAGACAGTGACACAAAGGGAAAACACTAAAAATTTTAGGTGAATACTATCAGTATCAAGAAATTAGTTTACATACTATACATATTTCACATTCAACATAATTTTTTGAGCTACGATTTATAATTAAATTACCTACAAATGAAGAATATATTAATTAATTTTAAAAAAAACAACAACTTAATTTTGATAAAAATCATGATGTTGGATTTCATAAAATGCGAAAATAGAAATCATAATATTGGACTTTAAAAACGCACGAATACGATTCGCAATGGTGATCTTAAAATTGCGTAAACACATATGGCGATGTATGATTTTTAAACTATGTGAATATGAGTCGAGATGCAAGATTTTTAAATTGCATGAATACACATCACAAAGGGGAAATTTTAAATCAGGTAAATACAAAAATTGATATTTGATATTAAAATCGCATGAAGAATTGCAATATGAGAAGACTCTGATGCATATCTAAATATATTCCAAATGGCAATAAATCACGAAACTAAAAATGTTTAAATGTAAATTTAAGAATTCGAAACTCCGTGAAAATTTTGTTGGATTACAAGTTTTTGATTCACAGAAGTCCGTGAATCTCAAGACATCGGGAATACCGCGATATTCGCAAAAAAATCACATGCCCCGGTCCTAGTTCTTACACCTGGACGGATGATACAAAGAAGCCGGAACACAATCACCCTTGATAAAAGGTATGCGTTAAAAATGTCCTATACCAGGGATGGCAAACCAATGGCACGCGACAATATATTTTGGGCACTCCACCAATCACAATTGTTGTTACACTATGAATTGTTATTACACAAATGTTATTACGCTATGAAGCATATGTAACAATTAAATTAAAATTCACAAAAAACAAACAAAAGAGTAAACAGTTATTGACAAAAAAACTAAAAATACTAAAAAAACAATTAATAACCGTAAAAAACAAGCTAACAAATAACTAGCAAAAAATCAACAGTCCTGCTTAAACTAACATCTTACAACCTAATATAAGTTATTGGTCATCTAATCTGCAACAACAGAAGTCACACTGATGTTACTTTAAGTTGAATTGCGTGCATAACTGAGGCATTGCAAAATGTATATATTTTTTCAATGTAAATAAAGAGTTTTGAGTTGATATTTAGTATTACTATTTTCCCAATAATCACGAAGTTAAAATTATTTGACGGCACGCCTATGACGTCATTAAGCAATTTTTTTAGAGAAAATGGCACCTTGGTGCATAAAGGTTCGCCACCCCTGTCCTATACCATAATACTATCTATTTCTGCAGTATTTCAGATATATTTTTTTTTATAATAGGAAACGAGCTGGTGCATACAATAATTACTATCTTAATTAAAAATATACAAGATACTAGGAAAAACTAATTGTAATTTTATCTTACCCTCATTTGATCTTCAAGTTCTTTCTTAGTATAAGCCTTCACCTCAGCCTTAACGATTGCAGCATGAAGATAAAAGAACAACTAATTGCAGAGAAATATGCAATAAAGATTACATAAGCAGGAGACAGCACAAGAACAGAAGAATGCAGAGGGTAGTTGATTTGTGCATAGAGTTTTAAAAGCAAATTCAAGCAGCCATTGAAAGGAAACAGAAGCAAAAACAAGTATGTGGGATCTTATTATAAAATAAATAAATTTGAAATGAACTAACTATAAAGTGTTAAAGCTAAACTGGTACTTTAAATTATTACAGTATACCAAAAAACTCTAATTCTTACCTATATAATCCAAGATAAATCATGTTAATTTGAGAAGCCGGATTACAGTTATGTTAAAAAAAATAAAACATAGTGTAAATAAAATTGTTACAACAAAAAGAGTGATAGTAATATAAATAAAGGAAAATATATGTGAACTACTAATAAATATATTTGTATCAAAGAAACAACTCCTATTTCTAAACTCAAATCCATTTATGAAACACAGGTAAAATAATTCATTTAAACATGCAGAAACTAGATATAAAATTAAACAGATTAATAATAAGTGTTTAAATGTCCAAAAATGAAAAGAAGAAGAAAAAATAAAGCTAAGAATTTAAGGTATTTCATAACAAAAGTTTCTGCAACTATTTTTAAAATTTGTTCTTAAAAGTTAATCTTACAAAAATAAACTAAAAGCGGCATTAGATAGCTGTATAGATTAAGAAAGTTTTAATAAATTAACAACAATATTAAAATGGAGAAATTCAAGATTAACATGAAATGGTTTGAGTAAGAAGAAAATGCAATAGGGGAAAATAGAAGAAAGGGCACATGTTGGTACCTATATCCCATTAATAAGGAAATAGGAAATTGTCTGTTAAACTTAAAGATATTAATGAAGTTATGAGTGATAGATTAAATTTACTGATATCCATACTTAATATATGATACTGATATCTATACTTAATATATGATACTGATATCTATACTTAATATATGATACTGATATCCATACTTAATATATACTGATAATATATACTGATAATATATACTGATATCTATACTTAATTTATGAAAAAATAATGATATGGTTTACTTTATTCTATACAATTGTAAAGTATAATGCTAAAGAATATTGAATCAGAGAAATATTATATTAATTCAGTCTTGACTAAGAATCTGCTGAAATTAATGAGAGCAATGCAGAAATCAGAACTCCTCTAAAGAGATCTACGATCCAGTGATAATATTTGTGAGACATTGATCTAATTGTAAATAATTTTTTATATAAGTATTACTTTTGATTATTTGTTTTTTAATTTATCCAGAAGAATGCCTTTTTCACTGTCTTGCTGAAGAGGACCAAGAATATTTACTTTTTCTTTGAGCACAAATATATTGTCCACCTAACCAAGGAAGTCCTCTTGCTACTGAGTGTCTGCTGCTATGAAAATAAGACCAAGTCAAAACCTGTCCTAAATATTTACCTCACACTCCTACTCAGGGTGCATAGCCAAATTTTTCAACAAAAAATAAGCACCTTTTAAGCATTTTTCAAGCAATTAAAAAAATTTTTTTTAAGCACTTTGAAAAATATCATAATAAGACAGGGTTGGCAAGTTTCTGACAATCGATGGTTTTATTTACAGTGACGAAGACGATGGCGCGTCACAAATGATGAAATTAGCAAGAGAAATAAAATTCTCTATCGCTAATAAGGAAAAAAAAATTACAATGTTTAGTTGGTCCCTGTAATCAGCAAAAATTTGAGAGATTTTTTTATTCTATTACAGAGGGCGGAAAATGAAGTCTGAAATTGAGAATCTCCTGCAGAATGCAGCAGGGTTGCACATGAGAGTAAAAAATCCTTACCACTGAATCCAGCTCAGTATATGCAAGTGTGGACCCGAAAGTATTCAATCAAACATGTAAAACAAACGGTGTTTTCATACACTACAGACCGGCGGTATGTCGAAATAGATTGCGGTTGAATTAATTGTGAAAACGTTAAATAGGACAATTTCTTTTCGCATAATTTGTGGCGAAAATCAACATGGTAAAGAAAAATATCACATTTCGGAAAAGGGAAAATTAAGCACTTTTTAAAAACATCCATGGAAAAAAGCACCTTTAAAGGCTTTTAAAAAAAGAAAATCCAAAATAAGCACCTTTAAGCACTTTTTAAAAACACTACGCACCCTGCTACTTAAAGTATTTTAACCTTGTAACCATAGTCACGAACAGTGTTTTTAGATCAGCGGTTCTAAACTATTTTCAGCCATAGAACCCTGAATGATCACAATTCTTTCGATGGAGTTCCGACTTGAAAAATAAAGTATAAAAAGGTGATTGCGAATGAATATACGAATAAAATACTATTTTATTTTTAAAATATTTAATTTGAGAAATGAATTTTTTGATCGTTTCATCATTAATTCTTTTAAATTAGATTTTATGTCAGTTAGATTCCCAATTCAGGAGCTTTATTGAGTCTAGTAATGAACTTGTTTTCAGTATATATACATAAACTGAAGATGAATGAAATTAGCAAATTTAAGGTTTTCTTTGAAAGGAAAACTAAATTAAACTGCTATAAACATTGAAAATGGTAATTAACGAAATATATTTCTTTATTTACGAATTTAGTCATTTTATTTTGATTAAAAAAGCTAGATGAGAAATACTAATGTTATTTTTTCTAAATGCATATCCTTTTCATAATTAACTCATCATATTGTTATTATAAAAATTCTTTATTTATCAAAAAACTTGTGATTTCTTTCCTATAGGCATTTCACTTTTATTAATTTTATAAATCAAAATATTAAAGAGATAATGGATTATTGACAAAATTTAAATATAATTAAAACTATTACTGGTTTAAAAATATTAAAAAAACTCTTAACTCTAAGAACTTCGTTTAACTCTTTTACAGAAGCCCAGGGCTCCACAGAATAATATTTGGGAATAGTTGACTAGTAAGGGAAGTTCTTTAGTTCGACAGACAATAGAATGTTTCACAAGTCAGTTCAAAATCCTGGAAGGGTCACAATCACGGAAAGGGATGACTTTTTTCCATATATAAATATACTCATAGAAAAAAATTGTAATAGGGTAATGATTGACTTCAAAAAAAAAAAAAAAANGAGTTTTGTTTAAAAAAAAAAAAAAAAAATTAAATAAGAAATTATCCAGATTCATAAAAAATTTAATACTTAAATTACTTAAGAAACTACTTATTTATAAGTATTACTATTATTATATATTACGTCAGAAACTAGATAATTAAACTACTTAAAACATTTTAAAATCTAGCAATTACAAAATTATTTATTTACTTAATTTCTATAAAAAGTTTGATAAATAATTTATAATCATAAGTCAAAAATTAATTATGTGACTAGGAACATAAACGAAGTGAAATAAGCCAATTATAACTCTGATTCTTAACAAATAAAGCATCCCAACAAAGTTTCATAGTTATATATTGCTTTTATGGATGTTTAAAGTAAAGTTCTGTTTGTGTGTTTTATTTCCAAGTAGAATATGTAGTGTGAGAATTTCATGCACCAAATTAAAGAAAAAATAGGTTCACCATAAGCATGCTTAAATCAAATAATTAAAATACATATATATATATAAAGAATAATTTAAAGGTAAATAATAAAATGCAGTATGTGAATTTCATGCACCAGATAAAAGAAAAATTTGGTTCACAATAAACACGCTTAAATTAAATATTAAAAAAATAATATATATATAAAGAATAATTTAAAGGTAAATAATAAAATATAAAAAAAAGGCGTGACAATCTGTTGGAGGGAAAATGAAAGAGGTAAAAGTAAAGTGTGTTAAACAGGTATAACAGTTTGTTTTAAAACTAAAGTTTTAGTAATCTGCGATATAATTTTTATAGTAGTAAAGAAAAAATCACTTGATTGAAATTTTTTAAATAAAAAAGTACTTGAGTTGAAAAATAATTTGTTTGATTAAAAAGTTTGAGATAACAACCAATACACATTGAAGGAGTGTCATTGAGTTTAATGGCAAAGGAGCAGAAATCAGTTGTGTTCAAATGTTAAAATGGCTGTGATTCAAAACCTAATCAACTTGTGTATAAAAAGCATTTCAACCCCTTGATTAAAAAAATAATAATAATGGAAAAATTAAAAATTGAAGAGAAGTGTTAAAGTAAAAGTTAGTTTAACATTTTCTCTTTTCTTCTGAAACTTGACATACAACAAAAAGAAACCAATAATTTGCAGTAATGATAAACTTTGCAATCTATTAGTATAATAAAAGCGGAACAATGAATAAAAAACACACACTTAGTCGTTATCCGAACTTAACTTTCATTACCATTCATAATAAGAACAAATAAGAATCAATAGTTACTGGTTATTTACTGCTCTTTGTAAGTAAATAGTTAGACTAAACATACCTTTTCTCCATAGTCTGGGTCTAATGACATCATTTCTTTTAAAGTTTGCAACACTTTAATGCAAAGCTTTTCTTCTTTTTCCTCTAACAATCTTTCAGTGTGACTTATAAGTCTAAACAGCAAATAAATAAACAATGTGAGAACTAATAAACCATGAAATAACAAATAATGTATTCGTAAAAAATTAAAATTAGTACTAGTAATATTTTTTTGAAAAAAAGAAAATCAAGAAGATTACCCTACTTTTCTTGTATCAAGAAAAGTAGGGTAATCTTTCTGCTGGTAGTAAATAGAAACAATGTATAATACGTAAAAAATAATTTTGAAAGGCAAGCGTCAGTTTTTTAAAAATATTTAGTTCAGTGTGTGCTTATTTTAGCACTATAAGCAAGTAGTCATAATTATACAAATTATTATAATAAACTAATGATCAAGCCTAGTTGTATAATTTTAAACCATGAATTTTTAAAGGGAAAAAATATATTGTATTATATATTCGTTAAATAAGAAAATATATAGTATTTTAATTGCCATTACTTCTTGTTTCTTTTTTCTTTCTTAAAATAAAAATTTTCAAAACATTTTTCTTTAAACTCAAAATGTTGTTTTCAATTTAAAAAAAAAGAAGGATAAAATACCAAATATGCTCTAATATTTATATTCAAGCAATATAAATAGAAAACAAGACATTAAAAAGTGTAATACATATCAGTTGTATTTAATTTTAAGTTAAAAACATATTTAAATGATGAATTACTATATATTTTAACAAAAGCAAATATATTTTGATAATAGTTACAGTGATTAAGAAATGCTTTCACTAAGAAACTTTTAATTAAAAAAACTATAAGATTTCATAAATGAATTAATAAGTATAATTGATAAGTGATTGAATTCTTCCTCAGTGACAACCAGAATTTATAATCTTTTATATAGGTTTCCTTTTATAAATATGAATATAACTGTTGTAAGGTGTGGCAAATAAGTATTCCAGGATTGGAAATCTATTATTTATTAAATCTTCTCATTTCCACAACACACACAAATACAAACAAACATAACAATCAGACAACACACCAAATAAGATAAAAATTGATTTCGAGCAAGAGAATGTTCAAAAGCAGTGTTCCCATTTTCACTTCTCGTATCCAACCCAACATCTCATCGCCAAAACGGACACCACTCTCCAGTCCAGGTGTGCCTAACTCTCATAGGATCATTAAATGTTACAAATTATTTCTTTTTGTGTATTTCCTTAAAATTTTTTCATTAAAATGGAGAGTTAACGAAAATTTACATCTTACACTGTTCATAAATATTAATATTCAGTATAAAGATATTTCAGATAATAATTTTGTAAAATATTTATTATTAAAATATTAATTGATTGCAAGGGGCAAAAAGTGAAGAAAAATACTGAAAGTATCCTCACATTTCATACATAGATGCTTTGCAAAAGTTCTAAATTAAATAGTATACTAACTTTGATATGAATCCACCATTTTCACATTTTTTCCTAGCTTCAGTTCCAGGAGGGAATAAAAGTTCAGGTCGATGCAGAACATCAACTAACACTGACAACTCTGATTGGACAAGAGGATGGAGTTGATCCTCTAAGAGGGACACAATATCCTGAAGATATTAAGCAAATACACAACATTAATATATGCAGGGTGCGTAGCCAAATCTTTCAACAAAAAATAAGCACATTAAAAGCAGTCAAATATTTTTAAGCACCATATACATAAACAAAATGCAAAATAATTTTCAAAGACTTTAGATGGTCATGATAAAATATTTAGTTTGTGACCAAGAACTCTTTTATTGATGAGATGATATTAGCCATTATAAAACGATCGTGAGATTTTTCGGTTCGATAGCAGAGGGTGGAAAATGAAGTCTAAAATTGAGAATATCTTGCAAAATGCAGCAGAGTTGCACATGAGAAGGCAATAATCTAACCAAACCCAGCACAGTAGACACACATATGGACTCACTAGTATTTCATTAAATATGTAAAATTATTGGCGCTTTCATACGCTATGGACTGATGGGACGACGAAATGAATTGTGAAAACATTGAATAGAACAATGTGAAAAGCACGCTTTTGTATAAAACGTGGCGAAAACGACATAGTAACGAACAAAAATCTCATTTTTGAAAATGGAAAATTAAGCACTTTTTAAAAACACCCAATGAAAAAGGCACCTTTAAGGGCTTTTAAATAACGGAAATCGAAAATAAGCACTTTTTAAAAAAACTACGCACCATGATATGTATTTAACAAAGTGAGTCCTTAAAATTTCAATAATTTAAACATAGAGATTTTTAAGAAATAAAAGAATACAAATTAATCTCAAAAAGATAGGAAAATATTAATGAACAGTTGATCATTTAAACAAAAATAAATTACCTAATTAAAAAATATCTTCACTTTCTGATTAAAATAAAATGCCATTTTGCCAGTAAAAAATTACAACAACGTAGGATAAATACATTTTTGGAAGTAACCACATGTTTGATTTATCAAGGTTAAAAAAAACTAGCAAAATTAGAAAATAAAAATTCAAAGGTCTAAGAATGGATTCAACTTAACGCATATCAAATATTAACAAATTGTTTAAATAAAATATAGATAGATAGAAAAATGTTCCAAATAAACATTTACAAAAGAAAAGTATTAACTACTTCATATTTAATTACAGTGATACATGAATGAGTTTATATCGTTACAGATAATCCTAGTTCAATTCTGGCTGCGATAGCTACAGTTCTTATAAATTTTAATGTTTTTTAATGGTAATGAAGACTTATAAGCACAGTAGACAAGCTGGTAGACAAATGGAGACCCATCACCATTAGGCTGATCATAAGAGGAATTTATAATAATTCACAAGTAGTAAGATATATAGACTTTTCAAATATTTGCCTAAAGAATTTAATTGCTTTAATATCCTTCTAAATTATAAGACTTTAATGAAAATTGACAAGGACTAATATTTCAAAAATAATAAAAATAAAGGAACATAAAAACATCGAGATAAATAAAAAAAACTATTTCAGCATGCAACTGTACAAATCCCTGTTGGGATTTCAAAAGTAGAGAGCCTCATACATATAACTATAAAAACTTATTTGAAAACAATAGCTGGTGGACATAGCAAAATAGTTTTGAAGACATTAATCTATTTCCTATTCATTTGTACTCAAATAAAAATGAAAACAAACATTTCAAAATTAACAGAACACTATCAGGTACAATGCCTCTAGCTCAGTAATAAAACAGATGAAAATTAAACTACTAAAAATGCAAGAAGCATTCTGAAACTATGATTTAATATTTATTTAAAAATATATATATACATGTGCAAGATAAAATTAGCTTTTATTACAAAATATAAAATAGGACTTAGATATCTCACCTGCAAGCCCTCAATAATACTACGGTCATTACGAAAAACATTAACGGCGGATGGAATTCTTCGAGGTGTACGGGCAGCAGATAACCAAGCTCTAGTGTGCTTACTGATCATAGCATTTTTATTGAACATTGCAGACACTTGTGTATCTAAATCTACAGGTATAGCAATTCCTCGATTTTTTCCTGTAATAGATTTTTAAATATTACTTAGCTTGCATATGATGTATTGATATGAAAAATAGAGAAAATATACAAAGATAGAATTTTTACAGACGAAATTGAAAGGCTGATCAGATAATCGTTTTGAGAAAAACTAACTAGGAAAAAAGCACAATTTTAACATGAATGAAATGCATATGTTATTAATTTTTATCATATTAAGTGACTATGTAATATTTAAAAGTACTGTTACATGTTTTAGGAATTATTTTACTTTCATAAATTACAGGCTAGAAGTTTTACTTATAATAATGGAAAAACTTACATTAAGTTTTTATCTTGAGGGATGTTGACTAAGCAAACTATTTTCTGACAGACATATCTTATGTTAAGTTATGTTTTCACACATAGCTTTCATTATCTCGCATCAACTTTCTTTTTTCAAGAAAAAGTTCTTTATTTCGCATTTAAATTACCAATCGCTATGATGATAATTTAAATGATGTCTAAAAAGTTGCAACATTAGTCTCATGGGAGGAAAACAATTTGATTTTTTGTTCTGCTCCGAATCAAGCTAGGCTCTATAAACTTCCATTACCATTAAACTTATTTAGTACAGCAAAGAATTATCAATAACAATTAACTTTTATCAGCACCAAAATTTTACATATCACTACATAAAACAGCGAAGAATTAGCAATAACAATAGACTTTCATCAGCACCAACATTTTTCATATTGCAAAATTTTAAATAATGAGGCACAACAGTTATGTCAAATGTGTCGTGGGTAAATTCACAAAACTACTCCCCTACTCAAAGTGTTTCTTTTGTTTAGTACTGTTAAATAAATGCTTCATTTGAAACATTGAACAAAAGCATTTCTTCTAGAATTATAAAAATTGTTTTACATGACATTCTAAAAAATCAAGCAAAGATCAATTTCTTATGATTTGGATCAAATCAATAGCATTTAAGTCTTTAAAAATATCTAACAAATAATTGGGTAATAGAATAGCAAGACATGCTAAAATAGGTACTTCTTTAGAAGATAGATAGAGATAACATCTTCAGAATTTCAGATGAATGTTATGATAAATTAATTCCTGTAAGTTAATAGAATTGAGTATAAACATATTTGTTGAAAAATTTTAGAAGACAATGATTTAAGAACAAATAAATAAACAAATTCAACAACTTTTTTGAACTTGCAAAGTAACAAGAAATACAATTATTTTATTTTTACCTTTTAAAACAAAATGCATTAGTAGAAATGTATAAAAATCTAATAATAAATATAGGCCTAACCAATATCAGATAATGTCTTGATACAGCTTTCAACGTTCATTCTTTGTTGAATACTTAGCCATTGACAGTTGGACATTCGAAATGCTCCTTGCAGAAGACGAACAAAAACAGGCTGGTGAGTCTTAAAAGAACAATGGTGAATATCAAATTAAAACAAAAAATTGCACTTTAATAAGAAAGTGACAATAAATTGCATAAAATTGTAAATTTTTGACTAGTATCACTCGGAAAAGAAAACTTAATTAGTGTAAGCAAAATTTAAGAAAACTTTTTTTAAACTTGAAGTTAGAATTAAAATGAATAATCGAAAATGCTAAAAAAGTTTCCACATCTTATCTAACAGTTTTTTTTTTTATAATCATAATTTGAAAGAAAAAAAAATCAAATAATCTTTAAATTAAGTTTTCTACAATTTTTTTAAAACTAGTATTAAAATAGCTGTCACACAATATAAAATTTATAACATAACAGTTTAATAGTGATAATAAATTTTGTTAATGATGCTAGGCAATTAACTTTGACTCAATTCAAAGGATTCAGTGACCCTAAACAATTTTATTTAAATTCAATATAAATTACAGAATTCTAAAATTGAATTAGAACTAGCAATAACTAAATCTTAATTATCAAACAGAAAACAAAATGCAATGCGGATAAATTAAAAAAAAATATATTGATAAATTACATTTAATGGTATTCATTTAGAAAAAGTAATCCTCTCAGTTAGATTTAAAGATTAATTTTAACTTTTTATTTTTAGAAAATGTATATTAGAACCAAAGTACAATTTTTAAATAGATTGATTTATCTATTAAATACTGATATTGTAATTAATAAAAAGACATTTCAAATATGCTATTTCATAACAAAGAACAAGAAGAAGTGGCACCAATAGAAAACACAAGCAACAAAGATAAAGAGAAGATGCGGGGGAAACAAGAAGAGTTATTTCTAACTGGTATTCTTGATATAATAAAAATTAAAAAAGATATTCAGAGATAAAAAAAGATTAAATCATTCATACAGCTTTTTAAATAATACTAATACTGTCGCAAGAGATTATCAAATAATGTAAAAATCATTTATCAAAACAATAAATATTAACTAAGATTTAGTGTTTAAACTGTAAAAGACATGTAGTCTAAATTATAGCATCATCGTTTTTAATTTTACCAACATTTGAACTTTTCTTCCTTTTATGGGGGAAGTACAACCACCATCTTGATTCTACTGAAGGAAAGGGGTCAAAAAGGAGAGAGGCTGAAACATTGCTATCTAAACAAATGGGGTATTGTACCTAAAACATTTTTTCATAAAATTTTCAAAGCATTTTCTGAGTAAGTAAGTCCAGGGTGCATAGCCAAATCTTTCAACGAAAAATAAGCACCTTTTAAATACTTTTTAAGCACTATGTACATTAACGAAATGCCAAAATAATTTTTAACACTTTACATGATCATGAGAAAATAACTAGCTTCTGACAAAGAACTCTTTTCTCGATTATATTAGCCACCAAAAATTGAGATTGAGAGATTTTTTGGTTTGGTTTAAGAGGGTGGAAAACGAAGCCTGAAATTGAGAATATCTTGCAAAATGCAACAGAGTTGCACATGAGAGTGCAAGAATCTCACCGCACTCAGCTCAGTAGACGCACATGCGAACCTGCAAGTATTTCATCAAACATGTAAAATGATTGGCTCTTTCATACGCTACGAACTGACAGTACACCGAAATATATTGTGGACGAATGAATTGAGAAAACGCTGAATAGAACAATGTTAAAAGCCTGCCTTTCCATAATACAAGGCGAAAATCAACATGGTAAAGAAAAAAAATCTCATTTTCAAAAAGAGATAAATAAGCACTTTTTAAAAACACCCAATAAAAAAGCACCTATAAGGGCTTTTAGAAAACAAAAATAAGCACATTTGATTACTTTTTAAAAATGCTACGCACTATGAAGTTATTATTTCTACTATTTTCTTTCTACATTGCACACAAATATTAAATTCCAGAACTATGAATCTAACTCACTCAAGCTTTATAAACATTTCCAGTGAAAAAAAGGTCTACTATCTACAATTTTACATTTATTGTAAGCAAGTTGCTTTTATTATAAGAAATATATGATAGATTAAAAGAGATATTTGATGTATTGCATAAGCAAAAACTAAGTTTAACTAACATAACAGATAACTTTTCAAAAATCACTTTGTGAGTGACCTCTTAATAAACCACTTATACAAATTGCCAGCAATAGACCTCCATCGTTTTCAAAGTATAAGTTAATTTTAATAAGCTTCTTAGATTTTGAAAAACGCAAAATAGACAATATTTTGTAGTGTTTTTATTTTTCAACATTCACAAAAATGTAGAAAAAAAATCTAAAAATGATAAGGGAAAGATATTGAAGAAAAACATAAAAAGAAGTGGAATAACCCTCATTTCAGGAAGAATTTCTTGCCTGATTTTAGAAAACTTAGTGGAATAACTGGCTAACTGATATTTTAGTGAATTTGAATAAATATGAAACTTGATTTTTGAAAACATGAAACCATTACTAATGCCAGTTTATATGCTAGAGACATGTCACCCAATCAAAATTAAAAAAAATACTGAAATGGCATTGCGATGATAGTTTGTTAATATATTTGGAAACATTAATGAATTAGCACCAAAAAAAAATATCTTGATAGCACTCTTCAAAAGAAAATACTGAATTTAGGTAAAACAAATGTCAGATGAATGTCAAAAATCACAAGTCTGATTACGATTATAAAAAGTGCACATTTAGAACTGTTTGCTGAACTAGGAATAAATATTAAAATAAGTACTTGACTGTGTAAAATTATTTTTTAAATAGCATTTTCTTTCATTGCTTAAATTTTAGTTCCTTATTGTAGGATCCCTCTTTGAAGAAAAGCTCCAATGAAGTTTTAACTAATTTAAAAAATATAGTTGCAAAAAATGTTTTCAATTTTTTTTTATAAATTATACTAGTTATTTTATAAGCATACCTTACAGCATACGTTATAAAATAATAGAATTAGAATTTTATTTCCCTTTTTAAAAATAAATAAATTAGTTTTTTAAAAAATAGGGGGTTTTTTCTTCACAAATGTAAATTGGTAATATTAAAATATGTGGAAGATATGTTGGTAATATGAAATATGTTGGTAATATGAAATTTGTAGAAGAAAGAAAGACAGAAATTATAATTAAGTATATTTTACTCATAAATTTATCTGCATTAAAAAAAAAAGGTTTTTGCATTTTCTCATCGATGCAAATAATCCAGATAATTTTAAATCATAATTTTGCAATTTTTTTTCTCACGAAAATAAAAAAAAATATGTATGGAGTATACTTCCTTTAATTTATTCAAAAAAATTTTTTATTCATAAAATTATTTATTGCATAAAACAACAACAAAAAACACAATAAAAGCCATTGAGTCGGGCAGTACATTAAAATTGTTGCAAAGAGATTTAGAAAGAAATTTTTGTTCTATGTATTATTATGGGTTTGGAACAATTGCTTAACAAAGGATATAATGCATGAGTCAGATATTTTTAAACTGTTCAAGTTTCAACTAATCATAAAAAGCAGAAACAATAACACTTAATACACGTACACTTTGCAAAAGACAGATTACACTAATTGCTGAGAAGTATGAAAATAATAATATTGATGTGGAAATAAAAAAATATGGAAAACTAAAGCATAATTTAATACTTCTCAAACATTATACTCACATTAATAAGATCGATAGCAGTAATTTGCCCTTGTGCCCAGAACACCCTAGCATGCAAAAGTTGCTTCTGATAAAGCAGAAAGTATAGATAAAAGAAAAAGAGCAATGGCAAAAAATCATGCAAATAAGAAAAACCACCAAGATCAATATATTTTCAAACAATGATAAATGAACTTTTTGTAATGGATTTCACTTTATAGATCTAATCGCAAAATATTTCAGCATTTTCTTTAAAAAATCAAAAATGCAAAGAAAAACTTCACTATTCACTAATTTTTTTTTGTTTGAGAAATTAAAGTTTAAAAAAAGTTATTCAGAAGAACTTTTAGTGAGTATCAACAGATTTTATTCCATGTTAATTTAAATTTAAACTGATTATTTTAGATCTCAGAGCATATAATTCAAGTTGATATTTTATATGCATTGGCTACATCAATATAAATATCCATTACAAAAATTAGCAAAAATATTAAGATAAAAAGTACACACAAATACAAAATATATCATAATTTAATGTAAAATATGATGATATCATGCAAAGCAACATTTTCCCATGCTTGAGAATACACCAACACCTTCGTGCAAAGGATAGTTTGATTAATTATTTCATAAACTCACCAATTTGTTATGAAGTTTAAAGCCAGTTAGAAAAAGAAACAATAAAATTGAATTAGTAATTAGGAAAAATCCAATTATTTTACATATAAGTAACAATATAAATAACAATTGATAAAATAAACAAAAAAGTCTCACAACATAATAAAAAATATTTTTTTTTTTGCCTGAACAAATTATTATAATCATTTTTAACTATACTGTATAACAGGATAGCTAAATAGGAAGTTAAAAATAAAATTAATTCTTATGCAGTCCATAACTTGTTATGCAGTTCCTTCAATCACAGGGTTGCCACAAAAAATGAACAAAATAGTTGCTTTTAGTAGCCTAAAACATGAAAATAGAAGCCAAAAACTAGGAAAATAGTTGCCTAAATAAGAACAAAAATTCATCAAAAATATGACTAAAATTTTGTTAATGACCTTATTGTCATATACCATGATACATTCAGTCAAGTTGGTGGCAAATATGATAATTTTTATAAACATAAATGTTTATATATATATATATGAAAAGTGATTACTCAAATTCACGCATCGTAAAATCGCATTAAAATTTTTTAAATCAGGCGGAATTTTGTAGCAATAATCATTGAAAAGGAGATCGAGAAATGAAATAGACTTACAATGGAGTCTGTGCAAATTGAATGAATTAAAAAGTGAAAACTTAAATTTGCAATTCAAAATTTTCAAAATTTTTTAAGAAAAAAAAGTTCAGTGTGTTCAGAAACTATCTTGAGGGGTGCAGATTTCCCATCCAATTTATGTTTAAAAAAAAAAACATTGCTAGGAGTACAGAAAAGTCTCCCAATAGTCTCCTTTTTCTGAAAATAGTTGTTTTTTTTTTTAGCCTTTTCAGGCAAAAAAAGTTGCCATAGTCGCTTTAAGCCAAAAATAGTTACATTTTAATCGTCTGTGGCAACCTTGCAAATGCGTCAAAATAAATGTTTTTTTGTTTTTATTCATTTCTGATGATTTTTTCTGATCAAGTTTTGAAGGGCAAATTTATGATATGCTACATAAATTATCCGGTTGATAATCTGGTTGATATCCAGAAAAGATAGGGAAGAAAGAACAAATATTTGTAGAAAAAATTCAGAACATTTAAACAAAAAATAGATGCAAATTTCAAAAACTTGAAGTAAAAAGTGTAAAGCTGCTCTTCCTAAATTATTTTGAAAATTCTAAATAAGAATATTAAATATGATTTAAATAAGTATAAGAGGCTTTTTTACAAAATCTAAATTTTTAAAAAAGAGCACTTTCACAAAGTTCAAATTTGTAAAAAAAATCCCATTACAAAATTTAAATTTATAATAAAAGATCCCTATTACAAAATTATACTCATAAAAACTGCCCTTTAAAGTTTCCTTTTATGAAAGTATTAGTACTTTTGATATTTCGTCAAATTATTCTAATACTATTGACATTAAACATAAAATATAGTAAGTGCTAAGTGAATGTTCTATTTAAATAAGAAACAGTTACAAACATATTTTTCCTTCTCACAAAATTGGGTTCAAAAATTTAAAACCTGGATCGACCCCAGATTAAAAGCTCAATTAATTGATTAAATTAGGTTATTATACTTTAAAATATTATTAAAAAATGTTCTTTTGAAGAGTTAGTAACATTTAATGTGTAATTGACTGAGTTTAAAGTTAAAAAACTTTTAAAAAATTTTTGTTAATTAAAACAATATATTATTTAACACTTCACTCCATTAGTTTATTTTTCAACCATGCATACCATAATGTAAACCCTTTATACCTTACAGATACATATCTTCAAATTCAAAATGGGCCTTCTGAAATTAAGTGAAATCTCTAAACACAAAAATAACAAATTATACAAAAATTTAAAATACAGGAGGAATAAATCTACTTCAAAAAGCTAAAACAATTATTCATAATTAAATAAAAACAATAAAATAGTTTAGATTATTTATGAGAAATTAATTTTTCATTAAATTATTTAAGATTTATAATGTACAAGCAACAGTAATTATAACTATTATTACGAAGCATATAAAATATTTCTAATTGAGATGTAATATTGTAAAATGCACAGTAGTCAACTAAACTAAGGAAATACTAACCTGAACAGTAGTACTTTGATCTGAAAATGGAGAATTGAAAAATGTAGTGATAATATTCATGACAGAATTTGTGACATAGTTTTCTAATTGGATATCAGCATGCCTTCTGTCATGAGTAGAATTGCAAACCTTGAAAAAAAAAATAAAGATGATATCACTGGAACTTGTAAATAACTTTGTAACTAATATTTATAACTGAAATTATACTAAAACTTAATAATTTTTTTGGCATACATTTGAAAAACAATGATTAAAAATTTCTGTACAAAAACATGACATAGGAAAATTAAAAAAATATAAATACTTTGAGGCAATGTAACATGACATTTAAACATGGATTTAAATAATAAAAAAGCATTGCCATGCAAGCAGAAAAGGCATAAGAAAAAGATAATCGGTCAAAGGTTATATAAGAGTAGCTTAATATATACATATATAT